CAACCCGCTCCATGGGTTATCTGCAAGATTCGAGTCAGAGCACGGTTGAGAAGGCAGCTGCCACGACGAACGGAGGCCGTGCACAGAAACGAGCCACCGACGTTGTCTCTATCCTCAGTACTGTCGTACCAAAATTGCCAATTATCCTTGTTGAGAACGATCGGGTGACAAAGGTGGTGTCGGATATATCCACATCTGTCATTGGACCAACGTTCCGTGCCAAAGCTTTCCCTGAGAATGTGTCGAGAAACATGCTGGACCTGCTTCAAGGCCTTGTCAAGATTTCACAAAACAACAAACTGGTCAAGAAAGATATTTTTGATGCTTTCAATGACGCAAAGTTCTTCAATACGCCGCTTTCGTTGCTGAAAGATGCATGGGTGCCTATTTTGGCACAGTGGACACAGTCGGACAAGGAACGTGTGCCAGAATTGCTATCGCGGCTGTCTGCACCTACGACTGCAGGGATCATGTTTGGTGTTGGGGCTACGTCGGCCAGGCAAGAGGCGGACCGAAAGACGCAGCTCACTCTACGACGCATCGCGCTGCTTATTCTGAGCAGCGCGGAAGACGCGTTTACGCCCAACATAGCGCAGATTGTTGAAAAGATTGTGGAATTGCTTACGGCCACGCCGGCATCGTCACCTTCATCCACGACTCGGGCCGAGGTCATTGTGCTGTTACGGGCGATTATTTTGAAGACATCGCCAGTACACCTGGCGCCATTGTGGCCGGTAGTGAACGGGGAATTGACATCGGGTCTGTCAGCCATTCTGCCGGATGCAGCTAACAAGGAACACTACAACAATGCAGGCATCATTCAAAGCTGCAAGCTGTTGGATGAGCTGGTTGTGCTGGATCCGGATGATTTCCAGCTGATGGAATGGCTCTTCATTACCGACACGATTGATGCAGTATACAAGCCCGTCGAGCCGCCGGCGCTTATGTCGCTCACTGATGAAATCAACGAAGTGTTGAGCATGTCTTCGGCAGCGCCTGCAGCGCCTATGAGTGGGCAGCATGGGTTGGACGGGGATGAGCCCAAGAGGGTACTGCTTCTAGATCCGCTGATCGAGGCTCTGGAGAAGGAGGAGGGCGCAGCCGTTTTGGAGATGACTAGGGGAGAGCTAGTGAATCGATTGGTCCGGCCGTTCCTGGGAAATCTTGCGATGAACGCTTTTGAAGCGAGGTACGGAGGTGGGAAAGCGGACTGGCGGGGTGTTTGGGAGAGCGTGGTTGCAGACGCAGGGTTTTGAAGTTTTTGCGATTGATTGGACCGGCTGGGAGGTGTGCATGTCAGATCAACCTAAAGTGCTGCACAGTACAGGAGGTGAGCATTTTGTTGATGCCAAGCCGGAGTATAATCCACGGTGAATTAGGATGCTTTGCCAGTCGGACGGTCGGGAGTTGATGCGGAATTGAAGGGGACAGGAGCTAGAGATATGGTGGGACATGTTGGAGAGGAAAAAGCAAAATAGTCGGGTTCAGGTAGAAAAGTAGTCGCGATGTTGGTAGTCTATGTATGAATCTTGGGGTAGGGGCTGGCCAAGCATTTGGAGTAACCGAGCTCTGTTTGGCCATGCGAGTGTCCGGTGAGGGACTAGTCGTGCAACCTGCTGTCGTTCTTGAGGTAGTGTTTAGTGAGGATGCTAGGCTGCTCACGAGCCACCCGACTACGCATCCCCTAGCAAACCTCAGCGGCACGTGGTGTTCACGTCTAGACTGTCAAGAAATTTTCTTCACAAAAAGGAAGTAATTTTTGTTTGTTTGCAAATGTGGTATATGTATGGTTGTCTCATCATGGCTATGCTCACCTACCAGCATTTGTCGTCGTCGATTGCACCAAAAAGCACGTTGAACCAAGATAGTCAGGGCTCGCCGAACTGTCATGGACCCTTGAGATGTCGCATCTCCGGCGTCTAGCGCGGACTAGTCGGTACGCTCGGTGGCTTCGGTACCAAGCGGACCCCGGTTCCAGCAGCAGTTCAGCTCAGCTGGGCAGAGGCCTTCACCCATGGATCGCCAGTTTGGAGAGGGCCAGCGCGGGCAGCGCGGCCAATGGACATGGAGGGAATGCGAGAGCGGGTCAAGTACGCAATACACACTACTGTCATTTCGTACATGGAAAAAGCGGAAATCGATTTCGCCCTCCTCCGTGCGCACCGTTCCGCTGGTCGTGCCGCCACACTCGCCTGCCGTTCCTGGGGTCTGGATTGACGCATGGGTGACCGGAGAAGTCAAATATCAAACTGAGTGAGCCCGGGAGAGTGGGAAAAAGTCATGTCTGGTCAACTTGAGGCTGGTAGGATACGTCAGTGTTGGATGCACGACAGATTTGTGAGCTGGGGCGCTGCGGTTGTGTGTCGACAAGTGTACCGGATCCGGCCAGAGAGTCTCTGCCTCATGGCGAGGCCTCTATCCAGCGCCCTCGGTACTACTGCTACTGGTGCTGCGCACTGGCAAGCACAGAAATAATAAAAGGAAAAAAAAAGTTTAGTATATAGCATGGCGCCCACCGCGGCTGCCAGAGGGCTCCCTCTGTCTCTCGAGCACCAGAAGAAGAAGAAGAAGAAAACACATCATGGCAACTTGGAACAGTCATCGCATGCTCGAGCAACAGTCATTGCGAAAAGGTCAAACTCCACGTCACTGGCACACGCATGAAGGGGGTGGTTCGGCAAACCTGATTTTGCAGCACAAGAAAACAGCAGCAGACATGAGTCCCTACTCTGAAACACACACCGCAATGGCTTCATACCCAATGGGGGCTTTGGCTGGGGACAGGCCTGGAGGCTGGACACAGGATCACCACGTCACGAGCCCCATGTCACCGCCAGCAGCATCTGACCCAACCAGGCCCGCCTTCGCCTCATCATCCCCCCCACAGCCTCGCCAACAAACGACATGTGCTGTCCCGACTCTCCCCGTGCCACAGCAACCCAGGGCCATTACCGCTACTCTTGGAGTAGTTCCGGTGTGGCCGCCACCGCCGCTGCTAGCGCCGACACCGCAACTTGCGAACACTGGCGGTCTACCTAGCACCAGCAGAGGCAGCATCCCACGACCACCGCCCCGTGAACACTGCCTGCAAGATGACCTGTACTACACTTTCACACGCGATGCCTACCTGTCCAGTGCCACCACGGCGGCTAGAGAGGTTGCCGGGTCCCTGGCGTTGAACCAAGGTTATCATCACTGTGCTGGCCCTGCTTCTGCCCTTGCTGCTATTGTTGTTCCTACAGCCACTACTGCCACCGCTATTGCTGTGCCAAAAGAGACGGTGAACAAGACTCACCGACGCCCACAACACCCATTAAAAAGACCTCTGCACGCACTACCGCCCCAAAATCACCCACCTGCAAAGAGACTTAGACCTTGTACTCCTACTCCTTCTGTCATCAACAACAACAACAACAACCTCCACTTTGTCGACTCGTCTCTCTTCGCTACACTAAACGCAGCCATGATGGAAATCGCCAGCCGCCAACTCCCCACACACCAACCCATGTCGACTTCGTCGCCAAAAATATCCTTCAAGGACACCACTTGGACTTTTCCCAAGAAGCTCAAGAAGAAGCGTCCCCGACCCAGCGACATTTTCAACATCAACTTTGGCTTTGGATTTTCCTCTCGCCGTCGCCAATCCTCAGACTACTCGCCTCAAGTCAGCCCTCGCACCAGCATCTCATCCGCATCCGGTTCCCCAAGGACAGAAATGACCGAATCCTTCAAGAGGCAGCGGATCGACTCTTCCGGCTCCGATGCCGAGGTCACGCGATCAAAGAGCGCAAGGCTGGACATCATCACTCCCACCACCAGCCGCACCCAATGTGAAGAGCCACACCCGGGCCAACTCGTCGACTTTACCCAAACTCCACCTTCACTTCCTCCCTCGCCACCCCCGGCTCCCGTCCCCGCCATGCAACTCCCCTCACCCAAACAATCACCCAAGCTCCTCCCCAAGAGCAACCCAACCAACGAGTCTAGCCTCCGCCTCACCACCGACGCCTACCACGAGTACCTCGCCACCACCCAACGCCGCAAGTCCTTCCCCGCCGGCGAATGGGCCGCCGGCCGCATCCGTGAGGAATTCCAAATCCTCAGCAAACTCGACGCTGGTCTTGGCCGTGAAGAGGAAATCGAATCCATCGATCCTCTTGATACTACTACTACTGTTACTACTGCCAACGCTGCCAACGACATCTCCCTCATCGCCCCCTTCGACACCACTACCACCACCACTTGTACTACTCAGCTTCCCATTGAAAACTCAAACTGCGAACTCCGTCGCACCACCAGTGATCCCTCCACCGAGCGCTTCCTCTTGCACATCCGCGCTAGCCTCGAGGCTCGCAGGAGCAAGAGCGGCAAAATGTGGCAGTCTTACCCCGTCTTTGCTGATGAAGTCGAAAAGGGGTTTTTGGATGATGCGCCCTTGTAACAACATACACACTTTCCTTCTTAACTTTCTAAGCGGTGTTTTTTGTACCATATGTAATACTTTCTTCTTTTCCTTCTCTTATATTTTCGTTTGTTAAGTAGGGGGGATGAGGATTCAGTTCTCTCCCCCCCCCCCATCCCTTTCTTTGGGCTTTCCAGACCCCAGGGCTTCTACGGGCAAATTGCAGGACAATTTTTTGCCTCGGAGAACCAGCCATCCTTTTCTTTTTTCGTTTGTTTCTACGGAATTTTTTTTTCATTTTTTTTTGAGCATTACAAAGGGAAATGGGTGTGTAGCATTACTTGGCATTGGCATGAATAGCGAGCGTTGGAACACAATTTTTAGCATAGATACCCCCTCCCAAACCATGGTTACCTCCACCGAACAAACGGTTGGTAAGGTGCAGAGATGATATGAACGTCTCAGATATGAAAGTTTTAATATTTATGATTAACTACATCTACAACATCTACTCTTTCTCTCCATTCTTCGTGCTCTCCACTCCTCCTCTCTTCCTCTTCCCTCTTAAATAATCAAACCGTGTTTGACGCCCAAAAAATCACCGACTCTTCCACCTCACCCCCCCAACCCACTTAACCCACCGTTCCACCCTCTCCCTAACCTCGGCATCCCCCTGCACACCCCCCTCAACAATCAACTCGACGGTATAAAAACTCCTCGCCAACTCCTCATTCCCCACAAGTCCATGCACAAAACTATGACACGCGCGACACAACCACGCCACGCTATTCAACCTTTCCTCTGCATGCCACCCGCGCTTCAGCACGCGCGCATGCGCCGATTTGGGGATGAGGTGGTGGTACGTCAGCGGGACCCAGTCTCTGCCGCATAATTCGCAGGCCGAGGTGCGGGTGCTGGACCAGATGGGTGGCGGCGCCGTCACGGCAGTTATGTAGGCTGTGAAGAGCGGGGTGAGCAGGTTGTGGTGGTCGGTTTGGTCCGAGCATGGGGGGAGGAGGGCGTAGGATTCTAGGCTGTCGATGGCGACGGGTGGGATGCTGGTCAAGACGAGGGTGCGTGTTGCGGCGGAGAGAGGCGGCGAGTATGTTTCCTCGAGGGAGGGGGTGGATGTGAAGAGGGTGTGGGTGAGGGTGCGGAGGGAGGCGGGGAGGCTGGGGAAGATGAGGGCGCCGAGGTACTGTGGTTGCGATTGTTAGTTTATGCAGTAGGTAGAGACATGGGGATTGTGTACTTCGATAAACTCGCCTAGGTCTTCGGCGTCGTTGGTTTGCGAATCTGCATTGCTGGTTTCTAAAGCTTTGTCTTGCGGCGTATCGTCGTTCTTCCCACTCTTTGACCCCTTCTTCGTGTGGCGCTTCTTCTTCGGCTTGGGCTTCTCCGTCGGCGCGGCGAGCGCTTTGAGGACCAGCTCGCTCATGCAGTCGCGGAACGTTTCGTAGTTGGATTGCTCCTCGGCGGGAATGGGCTCAGCCATGTTCAATTGATTCGAAATAAGCTGTACTACTATTCAAGATATACGTATTCAATTGTGCGCGCATAGTGGCGAGCATCAGCGGCGATGCCATGGTGTTTTTGTAGTGTAGACGGCCATGACGAAGTCGTCAACTTTCGCGTTCGCGAGGCGAGGCGCTAGCGGGGTCGTGAGCATAAGGGCGCTGCAAGGGCTCAACGCCCGTCAGACGAACTCGTATCTGTGGGCGAATATTCGAGATGCGATTTCGATCGAATTGCAGCCTGGGGCTGACCTGCTGGTGTTTGTTAATTCGCGGCTCTTGCATGAATCCTCTGCTGGGATTATTCCGTCATGTGTTGGCACCCGGCCATTCAGAAAAGCAAAAGCAATGACGCAAGTTGGAGCATAGTCTTGTGATCTTGAATTCTCATCATATTCTTCTAATCCAATCAGCAGAACGTACACTTGCTGAATATTACCATGCCACCTGCTCTTTGCGCTCGTCATATCCCGAAAGATCGAGCCATTCACAGCACATGCGAAATACGAGCATTGAGCCCTGTTCCTTTGGACCACAGACCGTCGTTTTACTGATTTTAGGCCTTCTTCTTTCCGCCCTTGGCAAGGCGGTTCGCTTTGCCCATGGCTTGCTCCCGTCTCCTGGCTTCACGCTCCATGAGCTCCTTCTTCTCTTTTTCAAGCTCAGCACGTTCCTCAGCCTCGGCCTTCTTTCGCGCAGCCTCAGCCTCCCTACGCTCGCGAACCAGCTTTAGGCGCTCGAGATCAGCACGCGCCTGATCGGTCTTGCCTTCGGCGTGTAGCTTGTCATATCGATCCTTGTTGGCTTGCGCTTGAAGAGCCTCGCGCTCACGACGGGATAGCTGCGAAAGGTCCTTTTGCTTGCCCTTGCCCTTGGCTGCGGAGTCGTCCTCTGCCTCAACGGGTGCTTTGGTAGCTTGTGTGCGGGCCTTGGCGGTGTGATTTGGGTTTGCGGGCATATCATCGTCCTCCTCCTCCTCAGAGTCGGTGGGCATGTCACCTGCCTCGGGTGCCTTTTGCGACTTCTTCGCTATCGCGGCCTGCTTGCGCTTCTTTGCAAGTTCACGGCGCTGTTCACGTGTCAACTCTTCTTGTGCGGGCTTGCCCTCCTCGTCCTCGCTAGACTCCTCCTCTGATGATTCCTCTTCACCGGAAGATTCTTCGTCAACCTTGTCGGGTTGCTCCTGCGACTTGTTGTTAGTTTTTGTCTCTCGGGCGTCTATCAGGGTAAGTACGTACACCCCACATGCCGACTACCTCGCCATCTGCATTTAGCGGTTGCAAGTCGCGTGAAAACTTCTTGCCGCCTCCGCGCTTGACCTTGTTGAACTTGCCGCCGCGACCACGTGCTGAGGACATGTTGAATATGGGTTGTGACTGTGGGAGTCAAGAGTGTTGGATGTCGAGTCTGATTGCAAGCCGTGTCCGTGTACACGGTGGACGGTGCCGAGAACTATGTAAGATCCTTTACGTGTGGTATGCTTCGAATGGGGTAAAAGCCTCAGGGAGGGTATGAGTTGGTGTTGGGGGTGATTGTGTCAGGGAAGCAGAAGTGGCCTAGTTGTGAAAACGAGCCTGTCGAACCACGGCACGTCAGCCCAATATGCACATTGCGCGCAGCAAAGCGAGCCTGCTACTTACCTGCTACACCGCTATGCAAACAGTCTTCTTGGTGTTGTCAAAAGAGTCACCCTGGCCGGCCCACCAACAAAACGTAACAGCCCCGCGCCCGCCAAAATCCCCTGCCCCGCCATTCCGTCCTCGTCACACCAAACGCGCCATTCTCAATTCGCTCGGCTGACCCCTGCACCGCCGCTAGTCCGCATACCAGCAAGCGCACATTAGTCATCTGAAATTCTCGCAGCAACAAAATCAGCGCGTCGCCCTGTCCCCTTCTGCTCACTAAAACTGAATACCCCTTTATTCACTCTGTGTCTTCCACATCCATGGAGATTCGGAGGGGAAAAAGGAGGTTAGAACAACCTCGCGTTCGCTTACCTCCTTCTCTTCTGCGCTTTGCGCTGGTGGAGCGAAGGCAAATTTTTTGGACGGTACATACTTTTGCGTGCACGCCATGGTGCGCACTCGGCCTTGCGCCACCATAATCAGGCTGCCCAGACCTCTGTGATTTATGAATGCTCCACCTCAAAGCCGTGTCCCTGCCCCAGCTGTGCGTAGCATCACGATATGCGCGACGCGACTCAAGCCATAATTCTGAAGGACCTCTCGTTGGATGCTTTCGCTTGGCTACGGCTCTTTGTTAAAGTCTGGAAATCATCATCAAGCTCATGACATCAAGGCATCACTTTGACATAGAAAACAGCACAAGATTTGATGTTATCCATCCATTTTTGTTCTTAAACCTCATCTCTGGATGTCAAGGCAAGCTACCAAAGATCATCCATGGCCATGACATGTTCCTCGTAGAACCCTAAAGTCAGCCATCCCATGAGGAGGATAAAAGAAAGAACCCTCAAGCCAACCGCATTCGACCCATCGTCGGTAGATCCGCTCCTCTCTTGCAACCAGTATCCCTCATCCACTAAGCAAGCATGAACCTCCACCCTCACATCCTTGTGACGACCCCAAAGCCCACTCGCATCTAGACGTACCACATGACATCCTTGAGGCTACGCGCGTTCTGGATAGGCATCAAAGGACCAATCTCGACGTGGTGCTTGGAGGAACCAGTCGATGATTCCTTCTCGGCCTTTGCCTCCTTCTTTCCGGACGAGACAGGGCTCTCGTTGAGATGGGCACGTGAGCGGTCCGCAGCCAAGTGAGCATAGTAGACAGCCGGATGCATCGAGACTGGAGTAGTCGAGCGCACATACTGGTACGAGTGTTCGAAGATGAACTGCTGAAGCTCCGCAGCCTTCCAATCACCCTCGTTCAGGATGCAGTGGTAGTGGATGGGACGCGCCGTACCCTTGATGGCAACGTGGGAGCAGAGATAAAAGTCGAACTCGAACGGATGAGTACAGCCAGACTCCACCAGCGTGCCCGGAAGAGGGTTGTTGTTGCGATCGCCCTTGCCAGCATCGGGGAAGAAGCGGATGTGGTGACGCTTGCCGGCAATCACAACCGTGAACTTGGGAACTTCCTTGCAGCCCAACTTCTTGAAGCATTCCTTCATGTCATGAACCTCCTCCTCAAGAACTGCAGCGTACTGTGCCTCGCCGACTCCGTCGCGAATGTAAAGAACCCGCTGCGGAGGCCTACCCTGACCAACCTTCTGCATCCAAACCCTGGCCATGGACCCGAAGTGATTATCGATGTTGGAGGTCGTAATCATCTCGACGCGGTTTCCGTTGGTCTGAACCTCAGCCCAGTACCTAGCGAAGTGGGCGTCTGCGGACACGGTGATGGCAGCAAATGAAGCAGCTTCGCCAGAACCCGCTCCAGGAGCAGGATGGGAGACGTCAGCGCCGACCACCATCGTAGGAATCGAGGCAGCCTTTGGTGCAATCTTAGGAATGATCTGAGATTTTGCGATGCAAGTCGCACCACCGAGCTTGGCATTAATCTTCATGCATACGTTGGAGATGTACTGCGGGGAGGCAGACATGACATGCTTGGCCTGTAGAACTTGTGACGCCACGCCGAAACGGATATCACAAGACTTCTTGATGCGGCGGTACACGTCAACGTTCCGATCGTTGACAATGAAGAGTATCAAGTTGGGTGGTGTGGAGTACCTGTAAATTAAGTCAGTGACAGCTCTGCGAAAGAAAGCAAAAATTCCATAGCTTACTTGTTGCCAGTCTGGTTCCAGACCTTCTGGACTACAGTCAAGTTAGCGCGCGTCTTGGAGATTCAACAAGTGTTGTTACTCACCCATCTCTCCACCATCTGCCAGATTTCCCGGACCCATCCAGGGCTTCTTGCCGTGCTGAGGATGAGAGAGGATATGCCCTCCATGCGCTTCGTAGATTTGGATCAGTTTGAGAGCGAAGCTCTCAACAGCTGTGGGCGGCGGACTGCCACGCCCTTGGATAACGCAAATGCCCCAAGCCTTGATGGGGCGTTCCTTGTTTGGCATAACAAACTTTCTTCCGTCAAGCCTCCACCGACCTTGGAGCATATCAGCAGGCTTGATCGTGGCTTCCTTTGAGCCCGGACCGAAATGAACAACAGGGGAAGGCAAGACACGAGCCTGAACCTTCGCAGGGTTAGGGTTGACCTTGATTCCATAGTGGCTGAGATAGGGATCGTTGGCCCAGTCGAGGAGACGAATGCCATGCTGAACCGCTGCCCAGCGATCTTTGGGAAGAGTGACAGCAAATTTGATCATGTTAGATGTCTGCGTGTCACTGAGCTTTGTGTTGTAACGCTGATTGGCGTCAATCTTGAGGACATCAATCGGCATGTAAACAGCTTGACCGCGAATCTTCTTCGTCATCTTGACCACTGGGACACCACCTAGGACGGCGATGCCGTACTTCTTCTTGAAGTAAGCGGCGACAGAAATCTTCTTGGAATAATCGTCTGGATCCGAGAACGTTGCTTTGTGTGCATCCAAATCAACAAACTCATCGATGGTCCACTGCACAGGCTCCTTGGTGTGTGTAGTGGATACGCCAATGCGCCTGAACTTCCTCAAGTCTTTCTTGAGGATGGAGCGGTTCCAATCGCGGAGCGCATTCTGGAACATGCTCGTGAACTGTGGAGGACTACAACTGAATGCTTGGCCAATGGCACGTGTGAGCTCTTGAGCACGCCAGAATGTACCATTGGCGACATCGACGTTGACGGACAGTGACTTGTTGAACTTGTCATCGAGAACTGGGCGAAGGGAGGTGAAGACACCTTTGAAAGCTTCAACACCTCCGCCGAGGTCAAAGCGCTGTTCGCCTCGCTGGAAAAACGACTTCTTTATCATGGTGTATGCCTGGGAAGGCCACATGCGCATGACGTGATCAAGAAAGTTCAAGGTATCAATGCAGTCGTTGGACCACGCTGCTTGACCGCTCATGAACGACTTGAGGCCGATGAAGTCTACCTGGCGAGTCCAGCGAATATGGACAACATGCTTGTTGCCATTAGCGCCGGGTTTCGTAGGACGGCCTTGTTCTTCATCGAGGTCAACGCTGATGCGAGTGTCGTCACGATCTAAGCGCTTGGTAGACCATGCAAGTTTGTTGGTGTCCCAGATCCACTTGTTTGCCTCGCCCAGGAAGGACTTGACAGCATTCGAGTTCCAGATCTTCTTGAGCAGAACGCGCTTGGTATAGTCTTTGCCGTCGCCGGTGAAGTGAAGCTTGAGGATGTTAGTAAGGCAAAGAGATGTATTATGAGCCACGATTACTTACATCGTACTGGTGAACGACGGTGTTTGGAGCCTTCTCGACGTTGAATGTGTTGAGAGTGATACCCACGGGTTTGCCGTTCTGGTTGAAAGTCTCCGGACGCGCAGGTAGGTCGCTTCCAATGTTGACCTGGAAGCTATTGTCAGCAATCTTGTTTCATTACTAACAAAGAGACGTTCTGATAGGAGTGGTTGAGGAAGGAGATATGATCGACCTCAACATTGGGGGTGCTGATGCATGTGCGGACTGAGACTGGAAGGCATTTGTACTTACACCTCGAGCGGCGTACCAACCACGCATACCAAGGAACTCGGAAAGGTTCTTGAGGTCATTTGGGACCGTGTAGTCGACCACCTTCCTATCGCTGGGGTCGCGATTGCCGTCAAGGCGAGGGATGGATTTGGTGGAACGCTGAGTGAGGTCGCGAGACTGAGAAGCCGAGTCGTTCGACAAGTCGCTCGATTTCTTCTCGGCCTCAGCGCGCTTCTTCACTGGACCAGCCATTGTGGACTGCGGATGCCGTGTTAGTGATGCTTGCAACTGAGGTAGGAGAGTATGCCAGATGGGGCGACTGCGGTGATAGACTGATGCAGTACGCTTGGTGCAGCTCAGATGATATCAATACGTACCTTGCACGAAGACTGGCTTCGGTTGGGACCTGTTGTAGAGTGCGTGTTCAGACCGGGTTGCCGGCTGGATCTGGGGCAAGTCAGCGAAGTTCACAGATAGAATCTGAGCCTGCATGTGCTCCAGGTTATGCAAGTAAGTGGTGGAGTGAGACATACGATATGAAGATTTATGGAAGAAGTGTCGATGGCCTTTGAGAGTGGGGTGTAAGGCAAGGGAATAGAAGGTAAGGGAGGCAGAGGTGGGTAGTTATAGAGCAGGGAAAGCTATGGCCATGTGAGTGACAAACGGAAAGAGCAGGCACGGCGAGGGCGGCAGGTGACGGCGGGGTGAAAGCGGTGGCAGTGCGGCAGGCAGCGAGCAATTGCTTTGATACAGAATAGGCAATGGCGGCGGCGCAAGGTCCGCAGACGGTAGTGAAAACGACGAAAGGGGAAATGTGATGATTGATGAGAGACTTACCAGACTCTGCTGGGGCTGTGAATGCCACTTGCAGCGGTCGAGACTGGGTTGTTTGCAGGAAGCAGCTTGAGGCTGGCTCTTGTTGGTCTTGAAGAAAGCGGGGTGGCTGTTGTTGGTGCAGGCAGGGCTTACAAAGGCTGTGAAGATATTGGATGGGGATGGTATGAGCTTAGAAAGGAAGTGTGATGTTGTTGTGTGAGGAAGGAAGGAAGGTCGGACGAGTGGGAGAGCAAGCTTATATGGACAGAGGAGTTCGCTAACTTGGCGGGCACAAGATCCCACTGAGTTGGGCGGTGTTGACAGGTAAGGTCAGCAGTCTGTTTTAATGCATAGATTCTGAAGCTCAGGTGAGAACTGTGCAGTTATACCGTTGTTAATGTCGGTCAGTGACTAGTGAGAGAGTGCATGGGACATACAGGCACAAATGGGTCTTACGATTGTTCCCTGAGTAAAAGAACAACTCGAAAAAGGTAATATCGGAGTCAACTCTAGATGAGAAAGAAAATGGAGACGGTAAACGAATAAGTGATGTGGCACCCTTCTCCCAAAGATCGTCTCGAGGATGCTGTAGCTGTGTTAGGCTTGATGAGTGTGTGAAGAGTTACTCGCCTTCCCTCACTTGTCTATTCATGAGAGCAGCATCACGCATGCATATGTTTTTTGACTTGTGTAGCTGTCCACAATAACCTGGTGTCGCGGAACTCATCGCTGTCACTCACAATAGTAGTCAAGAGCTAGAACAATGAGTACGTCAACTCACTACGATGTCTGGTGCAGCCCCGGAGCACGTCCAGAAAAGGCATCATCTTTCATGTGACGCATTTCTGGCGTTGGAGTGGTCATGTGCACTTGGCTGCGGTGGAAATGCATCAAACTGTCTGACACAAACTAGACTGCCGCCATGCATCTACAGTCCGGGACGTCATCCTCCCCTGCCCATCTCTTCTTGCAGTACCTGAGATTGACACGATATTTTGCACATGATCAATTCATTCATCACATGCGCACACCGGTGCACCAGGATGGGATGCAGTTACGTCCTTATCCCAACGTATGTATATGTTTGCTATGAGAATCACATCGATGCTACGCTGGAATATTAGAAATGGCTAGAAAAAAAGCACGAGGAGCGCAATACACGAAATGGCACATCCCAAACCCTATTTCATTGATATTATCAGAAGAGCACCGATGACAGCGATGACGGAGATCTGACTGCAAAGATGCAAAAGAATGGAAAGCCTCTGAGCTTGTCTATTCGTGCCCGAAGAAAGCAGAAAGCTGCAAAAAACTCCTTTCCCCAGCCATACCTTCAGGTCCCAAATATTGCAATTTTCAAACAAATCAGCTCCGAGACGCAAAAAGGGCAAACAGAAGACAAGAAGAACAGAGATGAGCCTCACCACCCAGAGACATGTCGCGTTCGATGGAAGGATGTCTTTGCTCATATACACTTTTCATTACAAAAAGACCACATATGGTCTCCGTCCCCACCCTCCTTAGGCCCGTGGGTCAATCTTTCCAAGCATTCCCACACGTGTAAAAAAGGTTCGTTCGCATTCGCCAAATTGAGAAGAGAGATATAATATAAACGCCATCCTTATGCAATGCTAATTCGATAGCAAGTCCCATTCCAGTTGTTGTGGGCTCACATTCATCCTGAGCCCAACAGCCGCAATGCGCTCGCCATATACACGGTCATTTCACCTTCCGTGTACAAGCTCGGTGCGGCTTGTTTAAGTTCCCCAAGGATTTGCACCGGGCATGGCTGCGTGCATGGGAATGTGCCCGCCATTACCATACTTCTCCTGTATGCTTTGCAGCTGCTGTGCCGTTGTTGGCGTGGTCCCCCAACGCTGCGGTTGTGGTATGGCCTGGCCGGGAGGAACAGGAATGGCGGCCACATCTCGTAGCAAGCTGACGAGGCCGTCGGCCTTGAACCGCGTCTCCTTATATGTATGTGCGGGGGGAATGATGCTGAGAAGGAAATTGATTCCACGAGGAAGTGGTGGTGGACCTTGGGCCTGTCCAATAGGTGTAGCGCCAGCGGTAGCGAGGTTGCGGCGCGCAGCATCGAGACGGCGACCTGCAGCACCCTTGAGAGGCGACTCACCGCGAGCAAGCTTGCGGGGTTGTGGTACGTCCTCCACATCCTCGAGTGGGCGTTTTGGTGAGTTGGTGACATTGTGAAGGTTGTTCAGGTGAGGGGAGTTGGCAATGGCAGGAGACGCAAGACGCTGTTGTTCAACGATGGGTGGTGGCTGTGAAGGTATTACAGGAGCAGGTTGCTGCTCTTCAACTGAGGGCATAACCGATGGCATGACTGGTGCCATAGATGCTGGCATGACCGGCCTCATTTGTGTGCGGGGAGAGATGATGTGGCGGACGGAAATGGGGTCGAAGGTTGAGCTTGCGAAGCGTTGTGAGAAGCGATGTAACTGGGGATCTTCAGGGAAGAGGGTTGCCATGCGCTGCTCGAGCTTAGTGATTTGAGCCAGTTCACCAAACTGAGCCTCGTAATCATGGAAGAAGGCAAAAAGGGACTTGGCTCGATGGACGTTTTCCGGCTTGGCTGTCAGTTTCCCAACGACAGTTTCAAAGACAGCACGAGCGTCTGTGAAAGTTAGTACAAAAAACAAGTGAAAAACAACAAGGTTAGAAACTTACTGGTTGAGTCATTCAGCTTGATCAAGTGCTTGATGTACTCCAACGCAAACAGCTCATCTTCTGGAAACAGCTTCATACCGCGCTCGAAAATCTTTTGTGCAGCTGGCTCCTGGTAACAGTGATGTTCAATGAGTGCACTAGCTACGTAAGCCTCACTGAGCAGCTTTCCCTTTTTGCGAGCCTCAGTGAAGATACCACGGAAGCCACCGACATCCCCCTTTGGATCTCCCTTGCCCTGAACACGACGCATTGCACGCATGAGCGCTATCCATGCATACGTAAGTGTCTTCTTGAGGTTTTGGGTCTGGGCATTATATCCGGCAGACATGGCTTGGAGCTGGTTGTTGAAGGCGTCTTCCTTCTCCTTTAATCGCCGTGCAGCAACGACCTCATCTTCGTCATCTGCGTCCTCGTTCTGCTGCGCGATTGCGCGCGCAGCCTCGTCGGCAGCCTTTTGAGCTTCAAATTGCTCCTTTGCTCGCGCAATAGAGTGCTCCTCTCGCTTCTTGACCTGTGCTGTAAGATCGTAAATGGTATCGAGGAGCTTCTGATATGGTTCCCGCACAGCCCTGCCCTTGGCGATGATGCCAGCTTGGCCATCTTCGAAGTCGGTACGCTGCTCGACCTGGCTGGCTTTCTTGAAAGCAAGCAGGCAGCTCTCAGGGTTTGCCTCGATGCCGTCATTGAGAAACTTGTCACCTTCAGCCTGCAGATTGTTCTCATAAGACCATTCAGCTGCTTCGTACCATAGCTCTGGCCAGAAACGAAGGGCCATCAAGGCGTTTTTGTAAAGGTGCAGAACACGCTTGTTGTACAGTTCACGGTTGTCGGTTGCGCATTCGAGTGGGTCACTCTTCTCCCATTGGATCCAGTTTTTCCACAACTTGACCTGGTTCATGTACTCCTCGTAGCCATCGAAACCGGCAGCAGGTGGAAGTTTGGGCAAGGTAGTCCGGATGACACCTCTTGTGATATTGTTTTCAAGAACGTTGATAGCACTGCGAGCAGTCATGTATGCAGGCGAAGTTTCCTGTAGTTGTTTGCGACCCTGTGACGAGATAAGCTTGCGGAAGCGAAAGGTAGACTATGAGGATGCTTACCGAAACTTTGTTCATGCTCATCTCAAACTTGTCATAGTCTCGCCAAATTTCTAGAGTAGCGTTGTGAGGAACTGATACGGCACGCTGGTAGACTTTTCGCAAAGTGTCCATCTTTTGCATATCTTGCCAGTTGCTGCCACCAAGAACGCCAGGCCCAGTCTTAAGCATCTCGATGTAATCAAGCCATAGCTTACCAGCTTGAACATCGATACCAACTGAGTTCAGGACAAACTCATAGGCTTGGGTGACTGTCTGGCGATTCTGCCCATTCTGGTCAGTGGTGAGATTGAAGCGGCGTCGGATAAAGTCAATGTAGGCAGAGTATATGCCAATGTATTGAGCCGAAGGAATCGAACGGCCAAAGAGATGCTCGACTTTTGGCAGCTCGTCGAGTTCAGTTTCAAACTGAATATACTCTACCCATTGCTCGCCCTGACCATGTTAGTGGAATGACTTGAAATGCTCACTGCTATGCATGCTTACTGCTGAAGGAAAGACCTTGAGGAAGCGCTCGAATACAGCTCGGGCATCGTCATGCTTGTGTCGCCTGCGGTGCTCCTCAATTAGACTCAACCACGCTTCGATGTCACCACGCGGATCTTCAGCAATGCGATCTTCGAGAATACCAACTCGATCCTGAGGAAGGCGAGCCTTTGGCAGAGAAGCAGAAGTAGGTGCCGGAGTGGCTGGCGCTACAGAGGGACGGGCTGAAGCAACATTCAAGACGTCGGGGGTAGCTGGCTTAGTAGCGTCTGGGACGGGCGTACTGCCGTTAGGAAGAGAAGCAACAGAGGGAGCAGGCTCATTGACAGCGACAGGAGCAGAAACAGATGCAGGAGCCAGGTCTTGTGCACTATGTAACTGTACATCTGGGTTGGGAAGTGTATTGTTTGGTGTGTTTGTAAAAGAAGGCTGAGGCGACTCAGCGTCTCCCGTAGCTCTCAGCAGTGTAGCATTCGCCTCTTGCGGCTGCGCAGCGGACTCCTCTTCCTCGTCCTCGCTCTCGTCGACAAACCCACCCACAGTGCGCGGTCGCTTAGACTGCGGCGCTGCGGACGCCTCTGCAGGAGCCTGGGGAGGCTGGGACTGCGACCCATGCTCGCTCTCGGTAGTTGGCGGTGGAGAATTGGCGCCCGATTCTGGTGGCGCGGAGCCAGACTGTTCTGAGTGTGCGGAAAAGGTCGCGGTTGGGTCGTATTCTTCCTGGCCCGTAGGCGCGTCGGGCATATTGTAGCCGGCTGAAGGGTCGTACTCTTCGTCCTTTTGCGCCTCTAGGAAGGCGAGCTCGGCCTCGTCCGCCATCGACATGGCAGGATGCGAGCTGTGCAAGGCTGTTAGAAGTGGTCGCTGAGGAATGGCAGGCGCAGGATTACAAAGTGCGTGGACGTGTCGGCTGGTTTGCAATGGATTTCTTTGTCGCGTGGTTAGTTGTGCAAGCAATGCGCTCCAAGATGCGCGACCGAGTCAAGGATGGACTCGAAGCTCTTCAGATACTGTCGGCAGCTTCGAAAATTCGGTTCTGGGTATTTTCGAGACGTGCGCGATAACAGAGGGGATAGTGCGCCGTCGGGCGTGGTCGAATGGGCGCGCCGTGTATGAGGTGAGGGTGAGCAAAGGTTGCGAGTCGGCGATGCGGCCTGTTAGCGGAGGACGGAGCCAGACATGCTTTGGCCTTGGCACCGGCCCTAGTGGGCAACCGCCAGGCACCCGACCCATGTCATGGCTCAGGTACATCCACACTGTCCATATTGACGTCCTCCACATGCATCTCCTGACTACAACTATGGAAATTTGTGACTCGCCGTGACACGGTAATTGCTGCGCCCTATACCGCATTCTCCGCCCCTACCGCCGCACTCACACGCCCAGCCGCTGCCTCCACTGCGCCTTTCACCTTCACATAACCCAGCATGAACCCGCATATATCCCTCCCACGGCCCACGGGCGGGCCCTCCAACTTTGGCTCAATGCCCTCTTCGCGGCGCAATGAAATCAAGATGCCGCGCTTCTTCAAGCGCATGTTCAAGTTCCCTCAGATGGACTTTGAGATGGCCGCATGGGAGATTATGAGCCTGATAATAGCGCCCAAGAAGGTGTTTCGCCAGATATTCTACCACGTATGCTACAATATATGCCCCTACATCTCCGATGCACCGCTGATGGCTCTGTAGAAACAAACAACAAAGACATACCACCGACCCGACCCATCCTTCACATATCTGCTCTCCTTCTTCCTTACTCTCACCTCCCTCGCCTGGGGTTTCGCATACGCCGATGGTTTCACACAGACCCTCCACATAATGCTCGTTTTTATTTTTGGGCACTTCTTGCTGCTCTCGCTTGTCGTAGCCACTCTATTCTTCTTCCTTGTAGGCCGATTACTGGGCCCAGACAATACACTGCTGCCAGGCCGACGAAGAGGCCTATACAACCTTGGCGAAGACTCTGGCAAGGAAGAGCTGGAGTTTGGCTACTGCTGGGATGTGGCCATTAGGGCTTTCGTACCAGTTTGGGTCTTTCTCTACGTTGTGCAGTTTATCTGTATGCCTCTAGTAGGAACGCAGCACTGGTAAGACGCCCATCACTATGCGAGAAAGCTGACGCTGACATACCTCAGGTTCTCACTCCTCCTATCCAATACGCTCTATCTACTCGCATTGAACTACTACTTCATCATTACCTTCCTGGGCTATAAAGAGCTGCCCTTCCTACACCACACAGAGTTGTTACTAGTACCAGTTGCCGTCATGGCTATACTCTGGTTTGCATCTCTTTTTGGTCTCAACATGTCAACCCATTTTGCCCCAGTGTTATGGACAGGAGCAAAGTTGCGCAAGCATGTTTGATTACTGCTAAATTTGAAAGCGGATAGATCAGGAATCGAGACGCAACCCAGATACACCTGAGGCGCAGCAACTTTTCATCTCCAAAATTCGCATCTTTTTTAGGCGTTGGGCGTTAACTAATTTCCATCATCACCAAATTTTAGGGAGCAACTCATCATGGCATTTTCAGCGAGGTAGATGAATGCAATCTGTATAATTACAAGTTGACCTTTTCTGTGCTGATACGATAGACATATCTTCTGGAAAGCTTGAAATAGTCTTGTGACCATTCTGGTATCCATGCCCGAGGCCCATTCGCAACTAAAGATTTGCAACAAGAGTGACACCTGAACTTCAAGAGTCAATATGTTGCCGCCGCATCTACAAAATTGGACTTGCATCTTGTATCACCAACAAAAAAAGAAACCTTGCATCATATGTATACTCCATCTACGACGGTTGTAGTCGTCAGTGTCAAGTTCATGGTCCCCAATAGTTAACTGGACGCTCATCACATGTTTACAAGCAAGATGACCGTAACAGTCAGGGAGAACCTTCTTTTATCTGAAAAAATGGTAATTTTGAGTTCTAAATATAATACATAAACTAATCGAATTTTTCGATGAAGAAAGTAAAAAAAGAAAAAGGAGAGTGTGTTCTCATCGTCGCCAGAACTGAGCCATACTACACAGCTTCGCTAGAGTACCTGCGAAGGAACAAGGGTTTGAGATTTCCTTTCTACTGGTAGTTGGTAGTGGCCTTGGTAGTCTTTCCAGAAACCAACTGGACATCCTTGACAATGACCTGAGAGCCGAGGTCAGAAGTGAGCCTGACCCAGGCAGTGTCAGTGCCAGTACCGCCGTTTCCAACGAGGGTGAAGAAGTTGTTGATGTTACGAGTAGTGGGCTTCCAGGTGTTTCCGTTATCGCCAGAGACCTCGAGCGACGCAGTGTGGAGCTTGGCGTTCATGACGGTAGCGGCGAACCAGTACTTGGATGAACCACCGTGCATGCGGATCTGGAGGGGATCGGCGATGGGGCACTCGACGTACTTCCAGTCCGAGTGGATCATGCCCTTGTTCTTGTTGTCGAGCTTGGAGAACATGTCAGGTGAGAGATCCAGGTGGACGGAATCACCTCCAGTCTTATTGGTGATCTGTTTGTGTTGTTAGTGTGTTATCCTCAGCGGGGGGTTTTTTTTGCAAGGGGAGTCTCTCACCATAGCGATCTTCTTGGTGCCCTGGTAGTCGATCTCGACGCAGGCACCGCAGTGGTAGGAGCTGTTCCAGATCACTTCGGAGACGCAGGTTGAGCCATCAATTGTGGCGGGGAGGACATAGTCGACGAAGGCGCAGGCTCCGCCTTGCCAGCATGATTCTTCTCCGCAGCTCTCTCCATACCAAGTGAGGTCTCCTTTGAAAACCTGTGAATAAGCCGATGTGGCAGTAGGAGACGGGACGATAGCGAGAGTGCTAGTAGGAGACGGGATGATAACAGCGGTAGGAGTGTTGTCCGGAGCAGGAGTGTTGTCCGGAGCAGGAGTGTTGTCCGGAGCGGGGGTGTTGTCAGGAGCGGGAGTGTAGTCAGGAATGGGGGTAGCATCCGTGTCAGGAACGGACGCAACAGTAGCAACAGGCGAGGAGGCTGCAGGAGAAGGTGACTTGTTGTGAGCGCCTGCGCCCTTAGCATGACACTCTGCAGGACGAGCCGCAGCAAAGGACGCCAGAGCCAAGATGGCTGCCGTGTAGGTAGAAGTGAATCGAACCATTTTTGGAAAGATGGTGTACTTGTGGGGAAAATAGAAAAGAATGAATGACTAGGATAAGTGTCGAATGAATGAAAGAGTGGGTGAATGAAACAACCAAGACTGGAGAGAAAGCTTGATTATTCGCTTGGCTTTATAAACAATTCACGATGTGCTCCTTGGTCTCTTGGTGATTACCAGGACGGGAATGCTTGGGGTCTAGAAGCGAGATGTGGGGGCGCAAGCCCCTGCAATGCAGTAGCTAGTCGTTTCATGTTTACCGCCGATTACTCGTCATCTTCTGGCCACAATCGGGTACGTATCGTGGAATTAAGTTGAAACACGCCCACAATCGATATCTTACGGTCCGATTACCGAGTGCACGGAACGGCTTGTGGGAACTTTGCGGGTTAGGTCTTATTGCATCTGTCTCATGTCTTCTCCGCTGCTTCCAGATGGCAAATTAAAAACGACCTTGCTTTCATTCAAGTACCGTGGAATTTGCGACGGCACGTATTGAGAGATGACAGGTCTCGGGTGGGGAGTCGGGATCTGACTGCGTAAAGGGTAGAGACCAATGCGTGGACTATATTGATCCTATGCTGTTCGTGTTCGCTGCAATATCTATGATCTATGCTTATCTTTTGTCTGCTTTGCGTAACTCCTTTCCATCAGAGTCGCCAGTTAATCGTACGAGGGCTTACACAGTAAGTAAGTCTCACCAGCCCTAACCCAGTCCAGTGTATTAGTCAATGCTGTGTAAGGCCCAGAGGTCGACTTCATATCTCGGGACAAATCTCCGGGTCGGACATTCGGCGCCTCTCGTGCACGAAGTTGTGGAGAAGTTATTTTTAGATGTGAAATTGGAGAAACAAAAAAGAATGATGTCTTTCGTGCATACAAATGTTGGTTGATGGCAGAAAAGGATCATGTACTGGAGAAATTTCGACTACCGTCATTATCCCTGCTGACTTGATGAGATCAAAGGTTCCTCCTAGAACATCGAACAGAAACCTTGATCCGAAGAATGAGCCATGTATTTCCATTTGCAACTATAAGAATGAAACCAATACATAGTTACTTGCTGTTCCTTTTTTGCGATGGCTCTGTGTTACGGAGTCGATAGGCCTCAGCTACCTGGGTATACGTAGTGCCTTGGCTCAGATCTTGTATTTTTGTCTCTCAATCATAATTATTCCACTGATCATGAAAAATACACTACCTTTGAAACTTTGCTGTGCTTTGCTGCCTTTGTGATTTGGGTTATCTGGCTATTGCACAAGCTTGTGAAACCGACGCTCAGAATCACAAGCTGCTAGCTGGTGTTGTAACAATGTCAATCAAGAGTCCATGGAGATGGAGACGCTTCTAGCGTAAGCTCAGCCAGTGCTGTATGGCATGGTCGCTCTTGTTAGGTTGCTAGCTCATCCACTTTGGACCATGAAGGAAAGAAAAACGAGAAAGAGAAAGTGAGATCTGACACTCACTAAAGATTTGTTGGGCATTGCACATGGCCTGTAGACTATACGGATCCATAGGGGTAGAGAGATCTTTCAAGGAACAAGGGGGACTTCCCCCAGGTTCGAAACTCTAAAATACTTACATGAGAAATTCGGTTTCACCCTTGCACAGTAATATTCTGCCTCTCAACAAAAGAAAATCTTACATACTTAAAACGGCTCAGCTGCCCCATAGCCTGGCCTAGTCATCCACAAATCTTCGAAATTGCTCAGCAACCATCTCACTGGGTTTGGACTTCCCGGGTTGAATCTATGGGGAACCTGGTTGCTATGGAGAAACACCAGATTCCGAGCTGATATTGGCCCTCGAGGGGTCATAACGTTTTGCAACCACTTGATTCCCGCTTCGTCACTGCCAAAGGATGATGCTCTGAACTTGGCCTCTGCAGCCTGGAGCCATATAGCAGCAGTGCCCTCAATTTCAGTCAGATGCTTGTCAATCTAGTAGCAGTATAGATCGCGCCGCCCTGCCATGGGGTCGCCGGTACCGCGCTACGGTCTACCTAGCTGTCCATTGTTCCCAGCTCCGTTGTCGTTCCAATTGAAGCTAGTATCGAACTCGCGTAACGTCTGTTCCATGTACTGCGATGAATCGACGAATTTGGGCCAAATCCAGCTGTTGCGCATATACGAGAATACCGCAGCTGTGTTTCGGTGCATCTTTCGTGTGTTGAGGTTGTTATTTTCGATGTCGGATGAAATAGTGTTGCCAGCGAATAGATGCTCTTTTCTACCGTTCATACCCTTATCGGCCAGTGCGAGACCACCAGGGTTGTGGTCGCCCCCCTAGGCCGTGGGTCATTTCGAAGAAAAGGGATTGCTCAACCCATCTATTGGCGGCGTGCGGAGCTACTACTGCCGGATTCATTCCGATGAGGACATTATCCATCCAAGCCCGTAAAGGACTTGTGTAGCTACCAGGAAGTGGCCCATTGATAAACCATTCAACGAAGATTGGCAACATTTGTACCTCGTAAATATGCTCAGCTTATAGAAGTCAGTACAATGATGTTTTAGCCACCGGATGTGCATGATGCTAGAGAGAGGGAAACTTACTGACGTATTGCGAGGCGTCTGTCTGGGCAGAAGTAAGTTTCTTTACTGTCACTGGATATGGACCAGTGTTGCTTCTGAAGCCGAACCACTTATTCACGCCGCTTTGTTTACTTGCCGCGCCGCAAGACTTGTAGGTTCCGCAAGGAAGGAACTGCCTCCCCCAACCGACATATTTTGTGTCGCGCTTTTCCAGATGATGCGATTCAGTTTCGTTCCCAAAAATTTCACCGAACTGAATGTCGCCCTTGTCAGGAGTATCAATAGGACAACTTGCTCCCTTGCCGTAAGGATCGAGCCAACAGGAGTCAGCACGCTTTTCGAGACTCTCACGATCATCATCGCCACACAACGGACATGGAGGAATATCACCGACGTCAATAGCCCCTGGGCAGTTTAGTCCTTCCAATCAAGGCACTAAAGGACCATAGACTTTAGCCCTCTTCGCAAGTTCGCTCGTGGTGTTCCTGCTCTTGCCCTGCGTTATTGATGAACGTCTTCTAGAAGCATGCGCAGTTTGCATATTGCTTGAATCATGCTCGGAACCTCGCTTCTTAGAGAGATCTATACATGCTGGCTCGCCACCAGTAGGATAGAGTTGAACATCGTCGATAGGCACAATAGGAAAGGGTGAGTTGGGAAGGGCCCAGCTGAACTCAGATGGAGCGTCAATAGTCACATAGAGATCAACTCCAGCATCCACGCCGTAGCAGAACGAAGACTCGCTATTTACCTTTAAATCTACGTAGAAGGTAATATAGCCGTTAGCTATAAGATTAACAGCATAGCTGTTAATTAGAATAAAGTCTTTATTAAAATCAATGCTAAATATTATAGTTAGCTTAACATAAATAGTAAGGTAGCCCTTAAGCGTAAGGCTATAATCGAACTTAGGCTTAAGCAGGTTCTGCGTGCCTTTCTTATCTAGGGTTTTGGATGCTTTAGGATCCTATTCGTCATTTGCGACTAGATAGGTCTGCCTAATATCCCATGATACCAGCTTAACTTTGCTTTTAAAGTTAACCCCTAATATCGCCTGACCTTCGAGTCTTCCGAAGAGCTTAAAATTTAGGCTAATAGTGATGATGCTGGGTACTACGAAGGCTGCACGGAACTTGTTAGTAAAGAACATTATAATATCGCTAGTATTAAACATGGCAGTAACGGCTGCGTTGATAACGAACTTAGTATTTACGTCGCCTTTAGTACGGAAGTACAGGAATGAATCGCTAAGGTTAATGAGGGTGCTAGGATTACTAAGTATAGTAATAAGAGTAAAGCTATAATTAACGTCAACATTAACATAACGCTCTGCATTTACTTCTAACTTAGCGGCGATATCAGGGCAAGTTAGTCGCTAGTTAATAATCTTAAGAATGAAATCGTCGGAGTACGTGTGGCTGAGGTCTAATCCGTTAGAGACACCATTGATGATACCCTTAAGCCAGTCAATAATGTCACTGTCGAACTAACGCTTGTGGAGTTCTTCTTTGGAAAGCCCCCAAAATGCGCATCGTCTCGCCATTCCTCCTCCAGCCAACGTTTGTGATTGCCACCTACTTCTTCCAAGCTTCTCTTTCGTCGCTTACTACTAGCAGTCTTGTTCAAGGTGTTGTTCCAATACTCTGGTTCGTTGCTGAAGTCGATTCTCATTTGAGTGTTGCCAAGATCGCGTGGGACTCTCTTGAATTGATAGTCGAATGTCAGGACATAAATAGGATCGACCACTGTCATGCCGCGCTTCACTAGGTGGTGAGGCAAGCCCTAGTCTTTGCTAAGCTTAAGCGTCTTTACCACAGCATATTTGCCCGGTCCGCAGCTAGAGGGCATCTCGACAATAGTACCAGGAGCTTAGTAACCTAGGTATATCTTTTCGCAATTGGATGATTCGCTTCGATCAGTGCACATCATTCTCATAGTGTGCTACCCCTCAGACACTGAACCGAAATAATCGAAAACCTCCTAATGCGAGCCATCGCGTTTATCGAGGGATACTTATAGGGCGTCTAGACTCGTTAGGACAACGAAGCCAAAAGGTGCGTTATCAGGTTGCTCTGCGAACAGTACAGTGTTACTTCTACCATAGGTAAGATCTGTCTTAAGGTTAAATTCGGTATCTGCTTCAGCCTCGGGCGGAGGATTGCTGAAGAGAAAGTCGAGCAGTACTGGCAAGAATGGAGATTTTCCATCTGGTGGATCGCAGCAGTACGTCTGTTGACGATCAGAATGCCAAAAGCCGCAGTCTTTACCCTCTTTCATACAGGGTAGTTATGGCCACTTGCCAGCCAGTGTCACAGTGGTTATCAAAGCAGTTGCCAGGCTTACCGTGCCAGGCGCAATTCTTCTACCCTTCTTCTTTGTTGCAGCAGGGTTTGCGTTTCAGATTCTTACTACACGTATCGTACGCCCATATCATCTCATTATAAGTCCTAGGGCAGGAACCACCGCAGTTAGTCCAGCCACAATCGGGCATTAGTGCTTCTGCCTTACAACTATAGAATTTGCGGCTATCTATACATTTGCCCCAGTCACCGTACAGAGATGATTGTAGAGCTACCTCGTCGGAATGGCATTGACCATTACACCATGGCTCACCGCCTCTCCATTCGCTAGAGGTTGTCAGTGTTTGATGTTCAAGGACATGTCGAAGTTGAAACTTACCAGTCTTCTGCTTTGGGGGCTGATGCAAGTGGACAGCATAATGTGGATATCCTGAAAGACCCGTCCAGGAAATCTTCGTCCTCGCATTAGGTTTATGTAACAGCAACCTCACCTAGTTTACAGTCGCCAACACCACATTCTGTGACTCTATATTGACCTTCACCAGCATCTTGCTAGTTGTCTGCTGTAATTGCCTTCTCAGCTCTCGCTCCAAGCTGCTCAAGATATATAACCACCTCGAGGGCATTAAGCTATTTTATGTCTAAATCAATAGCCCAAATAAGTATGCTGCCAAGACTAAGGGCGTTAAAATATTTAATCTTTTGCTAGAATGTCTCGAAGTCGTCATACGACACCTATTAATCACCACCCTACATGATATATTTAACACCGTGTTCTTTATTATAATACGGTGTAATGTTGTTCTCTTTAATAATATCTATAATCTCCGAATAAGAGAGAGTTCCCGAACTGTTACATAGTATATAAGCCAGGAGAAGCACCACCCTTAAAGGGGCAGCCGGGCTGCGAACATACAGGATTTGCCAGCTAGACTAACCAACTATACAAGCCGAGCCCTATATTGATCTTTTCAGGGTCTACACAATTCCACCATAGAAGGTCTAGAGCTTTACTAATCTCGGTAAGGTTCGTGTGCGCAAGAACCTAGGCTCCGATAGGATTTTCACCATCCCAAACACCGTGCAAGTCGTAAGCCATAACGTTGACAAAGTCCGCAGCTTCTGAGCTAGCCTTGATGTCAAAATGTCGCATATACTGAGCAATGAGCCTTAGAGTCAGTATCTCTTTTCCCAAATAGAGCGATTGTCAGACTTTACTCACCTAGTAACTAGTAGGAGCTGTAAAAGAGATTTCTTTATAAGAGCCACCTAACTTGTCAAACTCTGCACGCATTTCCTTCATAAGTTTAGTAAGATTTTCGCCGTCATCAGGATTCCCACCACGGTCGGGAGCTCCCGGATATTCCCAATCCAAGTCTACACCATCGAAGCCGTAACAATTAAGGAAGGTAAGGAGCTTTTCTATGAATAGTGCTAGTTTAGTAGGTATTAAGGATAAGTCGCTAAGCACTGGCTGCCATATCGTGTTCTCATTAAAGGTCCAGCCTCCTAGGGCAATGAAGACTTTAGGTGCTAGGTTCTTTTGCTTGAGACTAGCGAATTCAGTAAAGGTATCTGTGGAGAGAGGTTTGCCGTCGTCCATAGGAATAATATCGTATGTGCTTAGACGGATGTACCCAAATGAGTAGTATATGTGAGTCAAACTGCCGACTGGAATGTCTTGCCTTCTCATGCCAATGCAGTTCTTCTGGCAGTTCCACGCCTCGTAGTATCTAATAATGCGTTTTTGAATATTACCGCCCGATACACCACTATTAGGCTGTTCGCAATTGCTCTGAAAGCTCGTTTCCTCGTTATTAGTAATCTTGCAAAACTTATCTATTATGCTATATAATCTGAATTGACTGTAATAGACGTTTAGAAAACATTCCTTATTAGGGGGATCCGAATTACGGCCGCACTCAGCATGAGCATCGCAATTACTCCAGCAAACATCGTTAGGGGACTAGCTATTTGTTCCACAAGACTTCTCTCTAAAGCCACAGTATCCAAATTTGGCGCAATAAGCTCCGTTGCTGCAGGGTTTGTTCTCATTGCAAGAGTAGGGATCGTCTGCTTGACATGCACTGAGGCCCGAGGGCTCGAAGCCAACGTTTGGGGACGTCGCTGGAGCTCGCGCATTTGGGTTGATATGTTCATCAAGCTTACATACTCCCTCGGTAGGCTTGATCTTGGCGACTACATCGTCTCGATGGTAAAAGGCTGTTGGAATCGGTAGACAGATAGACTCCTGTATTGTAGCATCATTGGTTGCCCGTTGATGCTTATGGGAATTTTTGTGGTAATGACCATATCTGGGAGAGGCTGTTGTCGTGGTAGCCAAGAGAAGGCGGTGCCAGAAAAAAGATGACAAGTAGACCATGGTGGGCCACCATGGGCAAGCAGAATGCTTCCAAATCCCTATGTAGTTAAAGGAAGGATTAATCAATCAAAGAAGCTAACTATCTATGTACGAAGAAAAAGACAGAATATACATTCTAAATTAAGTCATGTGATACCACACCACAATATGTCTCCCACTCACAGTATGATTTCAGTCAATGTACATTTAAGCGCAACAGTATTAGACACCGAAAACTCCCATTCGATACTTTTTATTTCGCTTCTACGCGCGTGATTGGATCGTTATTTCAATTGTCCTTTGCTAGCAGTTGTCCAAGATTCCTGTAGCTTAATTTTAGTGTCATTCTTCTGCATTTTCCTAAATGTCATTTACTTTGAGCTTGAGAGACAAAGAAGGAGCCCATTTATAAACATCACGATTGGTAATGCACTCAAAAGGAACATAGAGTCCTTGCGCCTTGATCATTAAAATTGAGCGGGTAGGCATACCGTTAATAATTCTTGGTTCTCTCGTTATACCTGTGATCACTATCGAAAGTTTATCTCTCAATCTTTTAACAACAAGGCTTGCAGATCTTCGATTCGTAGATACTAGCGTTCCTCTAGATGGATTTAAATATAGAATTATCAATCCTGACCACAAGCCCCTAGTTATACTAGTTAGAGATTACAAACCTAATAATCTACACCTAAGGATGCTTACCACGAAAGGTCTTGCAGTAGCCGCAACGACAACAATGGTGTTCAATAGAACAGCCAAAGACGCATCTAAAACAGTTATAGCGCTTAACGATATTAACACTATGCGGCGGCGCTGAACGCTTAACAGCCTCGACACGCTCAACAGCCTCAACGTGCCTAGGGTTATAAGCGGCTGTAAGGGAGAACGCGCTTAGAGCGAGGGAGAGAGTAGAGACTACCAAAGTAGAATTTAGTACTAAGACTTATATACTTAGATAAAAGGTAGGTTTAGCTTACACTTCATGTCTATTGTTAGAAAGATTCCTTTAAGACGAGTGTTTGAAGCAAAAGATATAGTAGAATGTCAAGAAATTCAATTTGCTAGTAAAAAGAAATCTCTTATTCTTCAGTAGCAAGCCGGCGAATTTATATAGGGCCACGCTTAGTAAGCTATTACTAGAGTGTGCCGCGATTGTATTTAGTGCTAACTCATCTAATATCCGTCTTCAATATACAAACCTTAGCAGGAAAGTGGCAAAACTTAGAAAGAAAACTTTAATTGATTATCGGCTGGAGGAGGACCGATAGGATAGGATAGGATATGATAGGGTTCGCTCTACTCGGTTTCAGCCGCGTTTTCTCCACAGCAGGCTATTTAGTTTCTCCCCGCTTATGCCATAGCGGTAGCGTAGATGAATATTGCAATAATAGAACCTCGCCCCCAATCTAATGCCTAGAATAATATGCATAGATTCCTTCTTGTGCGCAGCCAAAAGATATTTAAGGCGGCCTTTAACCTCCTCGGCTATATTAGAGCGCAATGTCGGACCTGGCACTCGTGTATCCATAGTACAGTTAAACAGCGCTTATTAAAATAGCATCTCCCGTTGCCGAATAAAGCCTAACACATTTCAGGAGGCCTGGCTTGATACATTCGCAATATAAGCAACATCGCCCACCAGGTCAGTATAACCTATACTTTAGGCTAGTACAATAGAAGGCAGGGTATCTATTAGCGGCGGACAAAAAGACGAAGACACATACAACTTTTTAGGACGCAGTTATAGGTCCTTATAAAGAGTCGTATACTTTTAAGACGCTGATATATCTATGCCATATTCCAGAGATTCCGCAAGTAACTTATCAAGGATACGACCTTCTGGCAATGCGACTAAAGTATTACTAGAGTCTTCTTCCTAGGACTCTCTATCTATAACGGGGTCCGTTAAGAGCGTCGTATGGGTCCCCACTCTCGAGGATGCAGCTATTAGATTCGTTCTAAGGCTTTTTCGCTAAGTCAGCGAGGGTTGTAGAAGGCTTGAAGGCCCATAGTAAGCTTTCGAAATTTAGCAATAGTACTATGATATCATAGAAGTCACATACATACCTATCGTCTTATTTCGTAACAATCGTCTAAGTGTTATTATAATGGTTTACGAAAGATAAGATGCTAATCGGATAGCCCACGCCCACACCTCCCACATCCACCGCGCCCGCAATCCCCGGTCCCACACACCCCGGTACAGTTGTCGGTTGCAATAAATGGTACGTTGTCGGTTTTAAGTACATCCATTGTTGCGACGACACTTTGGTGTCTCACTACCACCGTTTTTATAACCAGCATTTCGCTAATGAAGGAAAAAAAAGCGGGTGATACGTGCTGGACTATTTCACAACTTTACGGTATTGAGCTCGATACGTTTTACAAATGGTAAGTTCCGCCTTGCGAAAGTTATTCAAATTGTGTTTTTCTTTTTCTTTTTTGGTCAGTTTGCTAAAGTCATTGGCGGATGTTTACAGGAATCCTGCTGTCCAGAACGATTGCGCGACGAATTTCTGGCCCGATTATGCGCATTGCGTTGGGATATCTACTTAGCTTTGCTTTCTGCGTGGGATTGGTGTTGAATGTAGCGGGGGTGTGTAAGGATTGTAGTCTTTTTTTTGTACGAGATATTAAGGTTTGGAGTGAGTATGCGGAGCAAAGGGAATGGTATACATCGCTACACTTAATTTGGGGAGAGGAGTAGTTTCCATTTACCCAGCTAAATATGAGTGTTAAAAACCACGTCTTGTAATTACGCTACTTCACATATCCAGTAGAAAACGTGATGATAGCGACTTGGTTTGACGTCGTTTCCATCAAATATCTTCACTACTACCAAGTTGACCAATCACGCTCCACCGCCTCCTGCCACGGCCCATTTGTCTCATTCTCCGTCTTCCCATGCGCCGTCTCATACATCTTTATACCCACAAACGATCCACCCGGACCCTCTGTATCGCTCTCCTGCATCGCATGCAATGTGACCTGAACCGGCGACAGGACTGCCGGTTCCCCTGCCTCTTCCGCAATCGGAGCATACTCTTCCTGCGGAATAGGGTCGAAGAAAACGCGGCGAACAGGCTGCTTATCCGTGCGCCAGTTGGGACCTTGGTAGTTGAACAGACGGCCATGGTGAAAGTTGCCGTAGGGGTCGTCAATGTAGCTTGGCACGAAGCCAGGGAGCCCTCCAGTACCAGTGCTGCCTGAAGCCTCGACTGCTTCGATTTGGCGTACGTAGTCGCCCCGGCTGCGCTTCTCCTCGCGATAATGAGTGATGCAGGCTGAGTCGGATGCAGAGTCTTCACTTGGAGCAGGGAGAAAGTATATCTCTAGACGAAAGGGATAGGGGTAGCTTTCCAGCGGGGTACCGCGTCTGATGGCAGCTAGGAGCTCGTTTGGCTGGACATTTTCTGCATTCACGTCTTTGTGCGTAAAGTACATGGCGAAACTGTAGAGTGGTGGAAGCGGACATGTTTCTCTGCCTTCGAAAACTATCAATGCCTCCTTTCCCGTGTGGTCTGTGAATGGGAGGACGTGTGTCTTTATACGTTGGATGCGGCCTCGTGCGCCCATGCCCCCTCTGCCAACGAATCCGCCTCCATGTGCTGTCATGGCGGGCTTGAGTAGGATGAGAGTGGAGTCTACAGTTCTGATCTGAAGGAGGTAAGAGAAAGGGATGTTATATAGTCCTCGTGGTTCCTGTAGCTGTGGTGTTGTGGTGATGGTGCTGGGATACTGTACGCGCTACGTTCTACGTACGTAGCTTTAGCGAGGCTCGCTAGCGACTCGTCCTGTGAGCAACTTGATTATCTGTATACCCTTACTAGAGTTCTAGCGTTTGTGTTGTATTAGGACCGTACAAGTAGCCTAATGATGAAACGTTGCAATATTGTTAAGGTTATCAGCATACTGGGGAAGATTGCTTTGCAAGTCGAAGTGAAGGGGCTTGTGCATTTGATATGTGCAAGCATTTCCACGACTAGTTTGAAGCCACTATCTAGTAATGTCTTCTCCTCAAAGACGATATTTGTCTGGCTTGGATCATCCCTTCTTGACTTACGGTAGTTTGTTAAGTTACAGCTTGTTCATTTGAGTTCTTTTTCTTGCCTTGTAAGACGTCATATTTTTTTTTCATATGCTAGCTTTATTGCAGCTAGAGCAAGTTCTTATGCGGGGGCTTACTTCTCTCATGGTCCCTGCGTTGTGGGGTATTTGCATCATTTGTATACCTCCCTGTACTTAGTTCCGACCCTGTGGAAAGTTTTCCCGTACCGTGCTTACTGCCTGTGATTCTGCGCACAGACACGCTATGTTAGAGCGTCGGTTGTTCTACTGGGCTTCAACGGCTCCAACATACGGTAATATCTGGGACTACTCCGCATTCGGTAAAAATAGCCTAGTAGATTGTAAATTTGGTAAGTGTAGACATACCTTGTTGGTCTAGTATTGCGTAGCATAGGTAAGTGTAATGGCGCGTCTATTTGCTTAGATTATCATATGTCGTCGTCCTCTTGAGTTTCTCGTCCTATTAGTACTCTCTTACCACATGCTCCTTGTCTGTCAGCGCTTCTTCTTCTTTCTTTCTTTCTTTCAGTAAAAACTATGAAGCGGCTTCTACGCTTAGCCCAGATATTTCCGGCACCCACGCTACGAAACCGCCGATTGTATAGCCAGCACGTTGTTTCACCGCATATCTCCCGAAAGTCACCAAGGGTTGGCATATACTTCATTGCGCTTCTCGCGTTGGCAAGCACGGCTTTCTACGCCGGTTCTCAATCACGGCCCATAGCGGGGGCAGCATCACAACAGGCGACGGTTACAAAGCAAAAACCTCTGTATGCGAGTCGAGCTGAGTTGGAAAAGGTGCGTCAAAATATCAAAAAGGCGCTCACAGAAACATATTGAGAATCAAGGCTATCGCAGAGTTGGAAAACGAATTGGGAAGTGATGCTATTACTACTGATGATGACGAACTGCGAAGGCATGGCTATTCTGAATGGTCTACGATCAACATTGAGCGCATGCCCGTTGCAATTGCGTACCCAAAGTCGACTGACCAGGTGTCGAAGATTGCAAAAGTTTGCGCACGCTTCAAGATTCCGATAGGTAAGGCACATCAAAGTGCTCGATTGCACAAGTGGAAGAAGCTGCTCTGACTTGCAACAATGTGTATAGTTCCCTACTCTGGCGGGTCTTCTGTTGAAGGCAACTTCTCTGCCCCGTACGGGGGTATTTGCATCGATTTCGCCAACATGGACAAGATAGTGGCCCTTCATGAACGCGATATGGACGTTGTGGTACAGCCAGGGATCGGGTGGATGGAGTTAAATCGGCAGCTTAAACCAAGTGGTCTTTTTTTCCCCGTAGATCCTGGGCCCAACGCGATGATCGGAGGGATGGTGGGCACAAGCTGCTCGGGTACAAACGCGGTCCGCTATGGCACAATGAAGGACAACGTCATCAACCTGACTGTTGTGTTGGCGGATGGCTCAATAATCAAGACGCGACACAGGCCGCGAAAGACTGCTGCGGGCTACAACCTGACCAGTTTCTTCGTTGGGAGCGAAGGTACGCTCGGCATCGTCACAGAGGCCACGCTCAAGCTGGCCGCGATTCCAGCAGAGACCAAGGTGGGCCTTGCCACGTTTCCCTCGGTGCGCGACGCCAGCAATGCCGCCACAGCAATCCTTCGTGCAGGTATCCAGATGGGAGCCATGGAGATCATGGATGAGGTACAAATGGATGTGGTCAACCGCGCCGGAGGGACGGACAGGAAGTGGGAGGTGATGCCCACAATGCTGGTCAAGTTTATTGGCAGCTCGGGCCAGATCGCGGAGACGACGCGCCAGTTTAGCAAGATCGCAACTAGCAATGGCGGAGGCACGCTGCAGTTCGCCTCGACAGCCGAGGAGCAGGCGAGCCTCTGGGCGGCGCGCAAGCAGGCACTGTGGTCGATGCTGTCGCTGCGTGAGGGGGACGAGGAGGTGTGGACGACGGATGTGGCGGTGCCCATTTCACGGCTTCCTGAGCTCATTGACATGAGCAAAAAAGAGGTGGCGGCACTGGGGCTGTTTGCTGGCATCGTTGGCCATATTGGCGATGGCAACTTTCATGCGGCCATCTTGTTTGATGGGCGCAATGCGGAGCAGCGAGCGCGGGTGGCAGGATGCGCCCAACGCATGGTTGCGCGCGCGCTGGAGATGGAAGGCACATGCACGGGCGAACATGGCATCGGTATCGGCAAGAAAGGTTTCTTGAAAGCGGAGCTGGGCGCGGGCGGAATTGCCATGATGCAGAAGGTGAAGGAGTCGTTGGATCCACTCTGGATCATGAACCCGGGCAAGGTCTTTGACCATCCGCTGGAAGATAGGCCAGTCGGGCACTGAGGGCAGCGCAGGATTCTTGTTTACATCGGAATGAAAGAGCTCTGTACCAATCAGGACTCGTTCCTGGTGTTATAAAGTTTTTTTTGGTCTGCGATGTGAGTCGGTAGCAATCTCGAGAGCTATAGTAGTAGTAGTAGTAGTAGATAGTACTGGCTACTATAGTTGGCGTGATTCTGCTTATACTGGGGATTTCTAGGTCCAACCAACGCTGACTGGCCGGGTAGAATACGATTGCAGACGTGGTGTACTGCTGAGCCAGAATTCTCAACTTGCTCGTGTCCCAACTGTCCATGGATACAACACATGTCTCATTCCGTCCCAATTCGGTAGCAGAGTGCCGATATTAGACTCCGCTGGCACCCCGTCACGTGTGCGGGGATCTATCCACCTATCAGGCCTTATCAGACCCATCTTCAAAGCCCCCGTGAATTGTTTACCTAGTTACGTACTATACTCTTTCCTCAACACCCACCATGCACTTTCGTATGGCGAGGGTAGAGACCTGCCACATCGCATCTTGACTGCTACATATGTTCAAACACGCTCGGAGCAGAGGTACGTACGTCATGACGCCCGGGGTGCGACGCCGCAACTAACTGCCGCCCTGCAGATGGCTGCGGAGCCTGCCGGCAAAAAGTAAATCATCACCGCCGTCCAGTTTTGTCTTGTGCACAGAAAAGCTGATATTCAAACCATCACAGCGCATCAAATGCGATGAGACCCGGCCTCACTGTCGGAACTGTCAAGGGCGCAATGTTCAGTGCCCCGGCTTCGCTCGCCAATTGCGATGGAAGACAGCGTCCCTCACTTCGGGAGCTGTCCGCAAGCACCCGCGCAAGTCGTCAACCATACAGCACTTATCGTCTGGCCCCTTGGAAGGCTTTATGAAAGCGACCGCTGGACCCCTGAGCCCGGATCCGTTTACCTCACAGCTCATGATCTTCGACCAAAGTTGGCGACAGAAGCCTACCATGCACGCCAACGCCCATGACAGCCCTTTCGGCCATGACCAGGCCTCATTGCATTCTCCGCCCGTCGCAAATGCCACTAGTCCTCAGATAAGCACCCTTGAATCGCGCCCCGCTGCCGTCAAGGAGGGCAAGCAACGGCATGAGACCAACGTCGCTTCACCCGCATCCCCGCTGGATACTCGTGTGTTGCAACAACCCGTCTCTCCGCAGAGTTCCACAATGTGCAGTGACTATTTACATCAGGCCGATATTGATTCCCCTGTGCAAATCCTATCATCAGATGACTCTTCTTCCCCTCACATGGCAGCGTCCAGCGCGTATGAGCTTTTTGAAGATATGTCGCCTTCCACACCAGCCTCTCCAGACACGAGGATAGATGGTGGAGGAAATCAGCACCCGACTCTGGTGCTTGATGCTATCGAATCTGCGCTTGGGCTAACATCTAGCGATACTTGGCTGTGTGGCACCGAGCAGCAATCTGCTGACGACCCGGACTTCCATATAGACGCTGCGGCAGCACAAGTTGGCCAGCAATGTGTCGATTCCGACAATCTAGTCTTGGCGAGTACATCGTGGCAGCGCAACATCTGGATAGATGCCGAAACCGAGAACAACTTGACGGTGCACTATTTTGATAACACCTGTCAGATAGTGTCGTGCTTCGACTCTCGTCAAAACCCTTTTCGCAAAGACATACCACGGATAATGCTCACCTGCGAATATCTGAACGACTGCATCAAAGCTCTGTCCGCAGCACACCTGGCCAATTCGATTCGCGACATGGACAATGTCACGTTACGATACCAGACCAAAGCAATACGAGGGCTCATGTCTGCTCTTCAAACGCTACAATTTCCAAGTCACCACAAAAGTAGCGATAATGGCCTGTCACGCGTATCGGCCGCATTCGCACGATATCAAGCGCTATTGGTCGCCCTGCTACTTGCAAACAGCGCGGTAAGAAGAAACCATAATTTCAAGTACATGGCAACCTTTTAAGACTAACATATTTCAAGGCTTGGATTGATGCTTCTGCAATTGGTTTGACCCATCATCATGGCGCAAGACTGCTTTTCCAGGCATGGTTGTCCGACGAAGGAGTCCACGATACGTCAAAAAAGCCTGTCGCACTGGATCGTGAACAATCTTTCATCATAGGCGCCATGGTGCACCAGGAATGCCTGCTGTCCATCATTATCGATCAGCCTGTTGAATCACTGCAATACTTGCTCCGTTTTGCTACGCTTGTCCAAGAACAAAGGGTATATCCCCATCCCTTCACAGGTATCAGTACTCCGTTGTTTGTCTATCTTGCTGAAAGCCTTGCACTTGTTAGGCAAAAGCGGAATTTGATGTCTCGGGAAGAACGGGGGTCTAATTTTGATTTGCAACTTTCCCAAAGAGTCAGGGAACTGTACATGCTCGTCCTAGCTCATCAACCTCCTTTGGTAACATCTGTGGATGACACTCAGGATTTAAACACGCCTCTCCCCCATCTGTTCGCCGTGGACGCGATGCTCCGCCTGGTAATTCTGTTGGAGCTCATACAAAGTTTTCCCGAAGTCATCATAGGTGATGCACCCACACGCCAAGTGAGGCAAACAAGCCTAGACCTCGCCATCGCAATACTGACTATCGCGTCCGACCTACCCGAACCATCTGGTGCGAACAACATGACATCCATCCCCCTTCTCTCCGCAGGTAGCGCACTACAGTCTGCCGAAAGCACTCCAAGGAACATCCATCAGGGTTACGACCTCAGCGCCAATAGCCTTGATGGGCTCCGTGGCCAAATAGCTGCTTTGATGCACCGTCCTGCTACCCTACAAATGTGGCGGGATCAAGTATCATGGCGCGTCGAGCGATTGCACTCTCGCGTCAGCGTAGCCCCCGTGAAACGGATAAGCGCAATCTTGGAAGCAGTCTGGCAGCAAGCAGACAAGGTGGCCAATTCCGACACATGTACATCAAGGAATATGGTCCACTGGATGGATGTTATGATTGAAGGACGACTTGAAACGTTGTTTGGGTAGGTGGGAAGTCTTTGTCAGCCCGCATATCATTGGGCCCAGGTCAGCATCGGAGCAGCGATAGGATCCTCTTTGTATTATTACCATAAATATTTGAATCAATATAGATACTAGATAGGCATATTTGAAGGGGCAGTCACACGACTACTACAACCTACCTCCCGCTCATCTCTGTGTGTGCATCAGCGAATCTAGGAAATGCTCAGCCCTGTACTGCATTATCAACCGATACGTAAAGCCGACAGGATAGACGCTCCGCATGTAGTTAGCAGTATCCCCACACCGGCTTGCAGATTCGCCAATCTACATACGGTGCAGCGGCTCTGGCTCCGTAGATTGCGGTAAAGTGGAGACGTGTAGCGCGGAATTGGGAACTGCCCCAAGACACCGCGCGGGCAGGCGGAAACTTTCCGCCTAGCCAAAGATACACAATATTGCCTTATCGGAGAAAATCCTCTCGCACAAGTGGATCCTAGAGATAAGTAGATTGACGTAGTTTGAAACCCTGTGTCATGAATGTATGACGGATGGTAGACGCTCTGCTCGTTGCGCGTGGCTAAGGTGGTTACTTCAAGGACATAGCCGAAATTCCTGTAGAGCTAGGTAGTCTGTTATGTTTTTCTAAATTTTACTATGTATCTGGCTCTAATACTTTGTGGTAGAACTGTTATGCAAAGATTATACGTATTGCTGGATTTTCGTAGCTCATGAATCCAGGCAAAATGTTCAATTGTACCCATATCTACTACTATACAAAGGGGAACTACACAACTAGTGACCTATTCCAACGGCGTTTTTCAAAAAGCCTCTGCCTATTTATATTGCAACATCCAGCACCGCTGAGACACCTCGCTCAAGACTCTCCACCGCCTCATTTAGTGCTGCCTCAAATTCAGATACGTTGACCACGCGGGCACCAAATATCTCTCCGTTACTTGCCGCCCTCGCTATGCCCGCATAGTCTGGACTCGGGGCGAAGGAAATATTCAGCTCCTCCTTGGTGGCTCTCGATGCAGGACCATCAGGATGCACTAGCAGCATAGATCTCCGTGGCGCGTTCCAGCCCAGATTGTTGAGAACAATCGTCAGAACGGGGATTTTGTAGCGCGCCGAGATCCAGTACACGCTCGAGGGAACACTGAACATGTATGACCCGTCGCCCACGATCTGCACTACAAATCTCTTCCGCTTCCCGGGGACCAAGGCATCTGCTGCGTCTGCTGCGAGCTTGACACCTAACGCGCCGCCGCCGCTCCACCCAAGGCCTCCGCCTCCGCAGTGAATCCACTGACCTGGAAGCGTGGCTCGGATTTGATCAGCAACTGCGACAGTATTTGTGATTGCCTCTACCGCGAAGATGGTGTCTTGAGGCAACTTTTGCCGTACAGTGGAGCAGATGTAATCAGTTGTGAGACTCCCATCGCCCGAGGGCTTCGCCCGCTCATCAAGCATGCGAATGCGTTCATTGTACGACTTCACGAGCGTCTCAGCCCTGCGCTCGACATCTCCAGTTGCGAGCTCCTTGGCCAGCGGACCACGCAGGTACTCTGTAATTTGCTCGAGAGCGACTTGCGTATCCACGCGATACCGCTGCTGCGCATCGATGTAGAACACCAGCATAGACTCCTTCAACGGATCAACATCGAGATGGAACACCTTTGCTGAGGCCTTGGGTTTGCACAGCTTGTTGATCCAGGGAACGTCGCAGTCGAGTATAAGGAAGACATCGGCGTTCTCGATTACGGAGTCCACGCCGTATTTCATCCCCAGCCACCCTGGGTGGTCCGCCGGAAAACACATATCGGAGCACCCTGTATCGAGCACGCGAAGGCCGCGTAGGGTGTTGGCTAGGGACACTAAGGATTGCACCGTAGCGTGGTTACGCCCAGTGAAACCGACGATGACGAGGGGATCAGATGCGCTCACAAGTGCCTCAGCGATCTCTCGCACAGCATCCTGCGGTAGAGCCGCTGGCGCAATCGGCTTCCAGACTGCTGAGTTGATGCTATAGGGTTCGATAGTTTCCTCCATGACCTCCCTCGCTCCCATCAGATACGCAGGTCCCTGTGGATGGCTAGTCGCAAGCTGCAGCGCCCGCCGCACCATCTGCTTTACGTTTTTGCCTGTTTTGATCTCGCCCACGTACCGACAGTACTGTGCTACGATTTGCTTTTGGTCAGGTACGTCTTGTATCCAATGACTATTTTTTTTTACCCCGTTAGCCCATATCCATTGCCAACAACAGTCGTTGAAGAAGTGAAGTAGGGGAGAAGAAACTCACATGAACTCCGTTCTCGACCCCAGTACCTCCCCTTCAATCGTATACGGTGATAACCCCGCAAATATCAACACAGGCGCCCGCCCCATGGCTGCGTTGTGCACAGCAGCTGCGAGCGCCAGCGTACCAACGTCCACATGTACGATTACGCACTGCGCTTCGCCACTTAGACGGGCGTAGCCGTCTGCCATGGATAGCGCGACCATTTCGTTCGGACATGTTATTATCTTTGGGAATTTGTCTGGGAGCTCCACCTGGCCCTTGACAATGGCTTCGAGGATGCTGGGGTGGTCGGAACCGAGGTTTACGAAGCAGTTCTTTACCCCGGCTTCAATTAGGGCTTCAAAGAAAGCGAAGGAGGTTGTATACCTATGGGGGGTTTGAGGTTAGAGGGGAGTGGGGGGGGGGGGGGGGTTGGTGGGGTGTACTGACATGGTGACTTGAGGTGCTGATCACAGGTCGAGGGCTTCAGTGTCGGCTCAAGAAAAAGACCTCATGGATCTTTTATAAAGACTAAGGGGGTTCTTTTTGATACCCGATACTAGCAGGTTAGGGTGTGGCCTGCCATTCTTCTCTGAGAAATAATAATCTGGTACGCTAGACGCGAAAGGGAAATAAAAAGTTCGAGTAAAGAAGGTTAGAATAGCCTGCTTGATGCATCCGAAGTGGGACTGCACATCACACGGATGCTTCTTAAGCGCGGGGCTTTGTTTGGTAGCTCTGATCGGTAACTTTTGTCGGCAGCTCGCCCAGGGATTTTGCTCTAGAAAGACTAGTAGCGTATTGTTCTTCACTAATCGAAACCGCACCCATGGCTGAAATGGAGAAGGGGCATTCTGAAGGCTCTGTCATGTGAGTAAGAAGAATGGCAGAAGGGGATATCTTTCATCACTTAATGAACGTATCTACAAGTCTCTTGTTACATATATGTCACATTCACACATGGAGCCAGTAGCAAATCCATAGTTCAACATTCATAGAAATCACAATTGTCCTCGCAGGATCAAAACTTTGATATCATTTCAAGTAAACGAGGCCACAGCACTCCATCGAACTACAATGCAACCAGATCTTCCAGCTGTGGCCCTTGATAGTGTTTCCTTGCATGCAGGAACCAGTTTGCAACAATAAAGATGCCTATTACTGCAAGAACAGCTGGCGCGTAATCTAAGCATGTCAGAAATGTCCAATTCATATAAAGACCAGAATTATCAAACTCACTCATGTTCGACGCGGTCACTGGTCTGGCTGGGGGAAAGCAGTAAAAGACGAGGCAGAAAAGAGCAAAGGCAATGGTCAGGACGTTTGCGACCCAGCCAAAAGCACTCGGCAGTCCAAAGGTGCGGTTAGGCGGTAAGAAGCGTTTTGGTCGACCTGTCAACAACAATAGCGCTGCAGGAAATGCGAATGTGACAAGCTGGAGGATCAGGCCTGTGCCGATAAATGCGTTGAAGGCCGTTGAAGATCCGAGGTAGACACATCCAATAAGGAATGTCATTATCCCATTTGCACAGAGAGCCCATATGGGAACCTGCCATCGTTCGTCTATGAGGGAGATCTTCGAGGAGGCAATCAAGCCAGAGTCGCGGGCAAATGACCAGGTCAGGCGCGATGCAGTTTGCTGACACCCTGAGACGGCCATGTATCCAGCCGCATGTGTGAAGACCAAGAAAGCAGTTGCTGCAGCCTCAGATTTCATTGCCTGGCGCCAAAGTTCGAAAACAGGGAAGCTGGGCAAAATATTAGTAAGATTCATGTCTCTTCAGCTTGATGTGACGCCTTACCCAGTCTTTGTTGTTGCAACTGCGGTGAAGTCTTGGACGGCATACATGGATGCAACCGCCACTATGAAGGATGTAACGAATCCTATACCCCAGATCGACACAAGGGCTTTGGGGACGGCTGTTCGAGCATTACGAGCTTCCTCTGCTAGATGGATGGCTCCATCTATTCCAGCATACATGTAACCTGGAGTAAGAAGCCCAATAAAAAAGACTAGTCCTTTGTTGTCCCAACCGCTCAGATCAACGAATGTGACCCAAACAGCTTTACTCGATTGGAAATGGGGGGCTCGTGCCAATGAAGTGACTGTGGCGGCTATGAAGGCGGCGAGCGATAACGCAACTACATCGTGTAGAGTCAGTGCCGTGGTAATCTCGTACATATTATTCAGAATACTTACAAATGACTTCAAACAGCCACACAGTTTTTCGGAGGCTGAATATGTTGTGTAGTAGGCATATCACGCATACAAACTGGTAGATTAGAAACACGTGCCACCGCTCGACCTCATAAGAGGGGTTGTACGTGATAACGAGAGCCAGTAATTGTTGCGGAAGGATGATGGCTACGCCAGCAGAAAGCGCTCCCCAGGCAAATATGTTGATCATACCGCATGCGTAGCTCTAAAACATATCATGTCAGTATTTCGAATCAAACCCCAGACAAAAACATTTGTCAGAAGGGTCCTCTTACCGTAGCACGAGCGCACCACTTCGGAGCCACAACCGCTGTCCAATGGTACCTGTTCAAGTTTTCAGTGCTGTATCTGGACCGAAAGTTGCAAGGACGACAAAACTTACTGACCACCCGCTGAAGGATAAACACGGGCTAACTCCGCCAACGTATATATGACAAAGCCGTACATGATGAAGACGAACCAGAGTCCATAGAGAAGACCCGGCGATCCGCCATTTGCGACGTTGAACGCAAGTGTCGACAAAACGCCCACCCAACTGTTACAAATGCTCCAACCTATCGATGCAATTTCGAGCGCAGTGATATCACGCCTGGTGGTTTCAGAGACATAGCCTTCCTGGTACGACTCTCTTCTCCCAAGTCCGCCTGTGTTACGATGTTCTGCGGTAAGCGACTGGTTTGACTGTTGAATCTGCAGCGAGGCCCACGTACGTACCGGATATGGATTCAGACTGCGTCAGCAGCTCCATTGGCTTGTCATCGGTACCAGACATGTGTCGTCTTTCACAGTCTCCGTTGCCCGCCATATTGAGTGATTTGCACAACTCTTAGTGCTGTCGGCGTGGAATGAATAGTAGACGCCCAGTTCAACCCTTTTGACCAAATCGAGGACGGGGGACAAGATACATGGGAAAGTCTGGAGTTGCGTGGGCAGTAAGTACTAGTAGTATGGTGTAAGAAGCATAGTATATCGTATCAGTACGAACTGGGCCGCTTCAGCTGTAGCTTATCGCATTATCACAATGAACAACATCCGTCTTATCTTATTGGATCCACTCGATTCCGACAATCACTGTTGCCGCGCGTGCGAATCTGGGGAAATGTGGGGGATGACAGGCAGGTGATCGCGCACGGGCCCCGGATGCAATTACTGCATTGGGGTTGGCTGAGCAGTGGGGGAGGTGGCGTCTGCGGGTTCATGGGTTACAAGTCATGGCAGGGGGTCTGTGGCCGATGCGGCTCGTATTACCTTCTTGGTTGCATGGGGAACGTTTACGAGCCGATATAACTTGGGGCAAGATGGTTCCACCAGTGACCACAGCTTTGATCGTTATACTACTACGTTTCTCGCAATTAGAATCATGTCGCACACGAAAGAAGGCCACAAGTACGACAAGTCGGGGATATCGAAGGGTCTGAGAACTGATGCTGTTGTTTCAAGCACATCTAATCCAAGGTAAATGAATGTTGTAAACAGCCCACTTTCTGCGAGGACTGCTTTGGTGAAAGATGGTGTTGAGACGTACCTTATGTAGTTCAACCGCTGACCGCTTCTACAGGGACAACTACGATGCCATTGTGATCGGAGGTGGATTCTGTGGTCTTGTTGCTGCTCGTAACCTGTCCTTGAACCGTGACCTGAAAGTACTGCTTCTGGAAGCTCGCGATCGCATTGGAGGCCGCACATGGACAGCGAAGGAATGGGGAGAAGACCTTGAAATGGGGGGCACATATGTGCATTGGTAACTACATGCCCTTGAGAAGATAACGTGTGACGCTAAGCTAATGAATCTTGTCAGGCATCAACCCCATTTCTACGCTGAAATGCATCGACACGGCCTGGAGAAGCACATTAAGACCTCAGCTGGAACAACACACATGGAATACGTGTTATATAAGCCAGAAGGATCAAGCGTGCAAAAAATAGACGACGTCGCTGGATACAACGCGAAGCTCGCGAAAATCGCCGAGCAATTCTTCAGCATCGACGGCTTGACTCCACGCCAGGTGATGCCTTACCCACACGAACCTTTGCGACCTCAGCCATGGCATAAACACGACCACCTAAGCTGTCAAGACCGACTCAACCAGCTAGACTTGCCGCAATCTGACAAAGATCTTTTTGTTCCCCATACAAACTCCTTCGGCAGTTGCAATGCTCAAGACCTAGCGTGGACAGATGCGTTGCGATGGTATGCTGCTGGTGGCTATAGCCTCCCAACAATGTACGATGCAGTTGGTTGCTTTAAACTAGGTGGCGGAGGTACGACAAACATGTGCCGTCACATATTAGCAGAGTATCAAGGCGACAGGGTTTTCAACAAGGCGGTCAATTCCATCAAGCAGACCAAAGACTCGAAAAAGGTCGTCGTTTCTTGTGCGGATGGATCTGCTTACAGCGCGAAACGGGTTGTTTGCACCATTCCACTCAACTGCTTGGGCGACATTACGTTTGAGCCTCCACTAGCACCTGCGAAGCAAAATGCAGTTCAAGACGGCCATATCAACACTGGCGAGAAGTATGTCGTCTCACTGGATGAGGTGCAAGGAAATTGGTTCACAAACACTTCCGATTCTAAAGACAGTAGTTTCCTTTTCGGAATCAAGGATCACGATGGTATGTATATTTCTCCAGCACGAACCCGAATTGCTTTGTAACTAACGAACGTAAGGCACACCATCAGCAAACCGACCGGGCACATATGTTCTAATGTTTGGCCAAAACGGAAAACTTCAAGACCCCACAAATAGCGATGAGATCATTTCTGAATTCAAAAAACTGCAGCCTAATGGCAATGTGCGGGGATACGTGTCGCACACGTGGTCGAACGATCCATATGCCAAAGGCGCGTGGTTCGCTGCTGGTCCTGGTTGGGCGACGAAACATCTAAAGGCGCTTCAGGAGCCCCATGGCCGTGTGTTCATGGCGAGCGCGGACTGGGCTCAGGGCTGGAGAGGTTTTATCGATGGTGCTATTGAGCAAGGTGCGAGGGCAGCTGTGATCACCAAGTTGGCGCTTGAACAGGAGAATGGGGGTGTGGATGCTAAGCTCTAGCCTGGAAGTAAATCGAGACATTAAAAGCCTTTGGATACTACATAGTATAATATTCATAGATTGGGTCATGGACAACTGTTCATACTTTCTTCCGCAATGGTTACAACTGGAATAAGAAAAGAAGTTACATTGACGAACATTTAAGCTTAGTGCTCAATTACTGTCACAATTGGAATTACTCGCGTAGATCGCGTGGTCATTGTATCTACCCTCATCCGACCTCGTAATAGAAAAGTCCGCGATTATACTCTTAACCCTATAAGCGGCGAAGCCACGGTGCAAAGTCACCGTGCAATGCATTGTACTAGTACGGAACCCTGTCAGAATAAATCGCCGACGTACGCTTAGATCCCGGATATTGAAATTAGGAGAACACGCATACCATGCGGGGACAGCTTGGAGAACACGAAGTGATAGCGCATGGTTTCTGTGTCACGAGGGGCTTAGCCGTTGAACGAAGTTCCTTTAGATAAATGGAAAGTAATGCTGTTACGTGGCAACACCGGTACAGCCGGCGTTGACTTCCAGAAAGAAAAACATCTTATCAACATGATTTTTGTAACGTCGATACGCGGTTCCTTATCATATCACTCGGAACAGAACTCTTTTTAGAATCGACCTTATCAGCGTGTACGTGCCACTATCTTTCCAAGATAAAATCGGCTATTGTATGCAGTTGAGGTTCAAAGATGTGTTGTGTCATGTCATGGCTTAAGACATCACTAGCAAAAGATCTAAATCCAGCATAGTTCGTCGATGGAACCCCGCATGGTCATTTACATGGTATCCTGGACTTGTACATAGATAAAGTATGTCATTGTCATCTGGTATACCGATTGGCCAGCAACCCCGCAAATGTCGGCAAATCGGCCAGAAAAAGTCTTGCGTTACCTCTTTGGGAAGATTTAGCCAGCAGGTACCACGTTTGGTCTAGTTGGGCCTCCCGTTCACGGAATGGAAGGTCACTTTGTGCGCTTAAAGGAGCGATATCTTTGCCATCTATGTACCTTTTTCTCAGTCCAGGTTTGAACGAGATAACCAATCGGTTTGTTGGAGATTGCAAGAGTTGCGAATATGCCGGTCGAATCCAAGTCTGCGGCTGAAAGGTACAAGCTCACTGACCAAGTGGACAAATATGTTTTCTTCGGTTAGTCCCCGTCTTCTTTTTATTTCAGATACTGCTGAAGATGGATATTGATTTTTGAATTTGCCAGATGATATATTCAATTCAAAGGGAGAGACGACTCAAGACCCATTAGCTGGGATCTGGTTCCGCATTGAGAAGGGCCCGCCAATTGGTCCTGGTGTACATGGCTATGACGAGAGTGGCGTTGTGTACGAAGGTATGTGATCAACTCTTTTGGAACTCTTTTTCCAAATATTCGTGATCAATACTGCAGAATCTAACACTGTCAAGGCACCGTTACGCTGAAAGACGAGACCGGGACGGAGAAGAAATTGGGCCCTGGAGATAGCTTTTTTATTCATCGCGGCAGCAAGGTTTTGTTCTCTTCTGACGATTACGGGGTATGTTTCAAGTGTGCGGCACGGCCTAAGGGAAAGTTGTGATTTTTGGAGCAGCTGTGATTGCGAGCGGCGACGTCTACGTTTGGCCCAATCTTCAATCTGTTATCTTTCTTGTAGCAATTAAATATCCTACCTTTGAAGAGCTTTCTCTCGAGTAGCTACTTATATTTGTCATGATTTTTTGCCCCGTTTTCCGAGCATTCACGTTGACCAAATTGCAAGCTGCTATGGGATTATCTCGTATAGACGTCGCGGCTCAAGTATGCGTTCTAACTCGTTATCCAGTGTGAACAAGTAGATTGCAAGAACTCAACAAAATAGCATACCTCGCTAAGCAAATTCTGCTAAAAGAGTGCATAGTCTACTACGGCGGGCACTTACTTCAAGTGAGCGGCTATGGTAGATAAGCAACAGCAACCTGAGTGAAGATGTCACTTTCAAACATAAACACTTCAAATTCATTTCAAGGCTTCATTATAGCAACCATAGAGAATACATGTTCCGTCGTGCTACAAACGCGGCACAACAATTTTAACTGCCTTGACTGTAGTCCAATCCTCGAAAGCTTCCAAACCGCCATCTCTGCCAAAGCCACTTTGTTTATGTCCTGTTTTTATCAATGTCAGCAATAATTCCAGCTCCAAAAACGAAAAAAATAAATAAAGCGCTGCTTCTAAGCGACAAAATAAACATACCTCCGAACGGCATGTTAGCAGCCAACATGCCCCACGCATTGACGGTAACCTGGCCGCTCTCGAGGCGGTCCGCAACTCGATGCGCACGGGCAAGATCCCTTGTGAAAACAGCGGCGGACAAGCCGTACTCGGAATTGTTGGCTTTTTGAATGACATCTTCTTCGTTATGGAATTTGGCGATGGACTGTAAAGTGGAAAGCATTATGTGTCAGCGCACAATGCACACATCTTCTTCGCCTTCTCAAAAAAAAAGGTACTTACCGCTACTGGTCCGAAGATTTCTTCTCTCATAATAGGCGAATCTTCAGGCACATCGAAGAAGGCTGTATTTTCGATGGCATTACTATTTCCGATTCGCTTACCGCCATGCAACAATGGCGTACCGTTCGCCTTCGCGCTTTCGATATATGATGAGACTTTCTCCCGCTGCTGGTCGCTAATAAGAGGTCCTTTGTTAGTTTCCGGAGCCATGGGATCACCAGGCGCAGCACTCTTGCATCGTTCAGAGAAAGCCTTCAGAAATTTCTCATAGACGGTGTCCTGGACGTAAATTCGGGATCCAGCGGCGCAAATTTCGCCCTCGCCCGCAGTGATTGCAATTGCAGCCCATGTCACAGCCTCTTCAAAGTTAGCATCGTCGAATATGATTGTTGGGCTCTTTCCTCCGAGCTCGAGAGACACTTTTTTAAGGTTGCTCTCTGCTGAGGCTTTCAAGATGGCGCGTCCGGTAAGGGTAGAGCCAGTGAAAGCGATCTTGCGAATTTTCATGTGGTGGGCCAAAGCAGAGCCGGCCGTGGACCCAAGACCTGGTATGATGTTGATGACACCGGGTGGGAATCCAGCTTCGGCAATCAGCTTGGCCAGATGCAGAGCTGATAGGGGTGCCAGCTCAGGCGGTTTAATGATTAGCGTGTTCCCAGCTGCTATGCAAGGAGCAATCTTCCAACAAGTGAGCATCCTACAATCATCAATATCTCGTAGAATTTTGGAAGATACTGCACATCAACTTACAGGGGAGTGTTCCAAGGCACGATAGCTGCTGTAACTCCGTAGGGTTCTCGGCGCGTATACGAGAAGCCCCCCCTTTCTCCCCCTTGATCCCAATCTGCACTTCGTCCGTCTATCTTATCAGCCCAGCCAGCGAAATGCCTGATCCATTCGCAAGCCATTGGCCCGAGCTGACCACTTGTTGTCGCTAGTAGTGCTCCGACATCGTTGCCTTCAAGGATGCCAAAGATTTCGAGATCACGTTCGATCAAATCAGCAAGTTTCAGTAGAAGCTGTCTTCTCTTCGCTGCTGCAGTCTGCCTCCATATTCCCTGATATGCGCGGTAGGACGAGGCGACCGCAGCGTCAACATCTGCTGGTGTAGCTCCTGAGATAACACCAATAGTTTCTCTGGAATACGCGTTCTTGATGTCGAGTGTATGGCCTTCGAGGGATGGAATGAATGTATTATCAATGAAAAGACCTGTAGAAACTGAGACTTGTTTGCCTTCCGGACCTCGGATAGTCAATGTTGATGCCGCCATGTTGATGTAATTTTCATACAGTTCTTCTTGACGCCTGAATTAAGTCGCCATGGATGGGAATTCAAATATGATATCTGGTCTCATAGGTCTAATTCGCCCATGTTACACCGCACAGCCAAGCCTGCAAGATGATGTTAGGCAGGTCCTGACTAAAACTGCCTAAACAGGAATAGCCAGGCTATATGTGCCTGAAACGGAATGGTCCAAGCTTAATCGGCGCGAGTTTGGAATACTAGCGTATGCCGCATGCTAGGACTGCAGCAATCAGGGCTTAGTCATCAGGGCTACACATATGCGCCATATGTTGACTTTCTTCTAGATTAGATGGTTGTGCCATGCGCGAATCGTCTTAGCGTGCAGTGAGCTCTGGAGCGGTTGTAGGCCGATCCACAAGAGCTGGCTATACATAAGAGGATGGATGAGACGCTTGTTCTGCACTTGCTTTGTCCTGCCGGATCCTACTTCAATTCTTCTATTCTGTCCATCTCTGGAGAAATATAAGCGGACCAATTCGATCAACCACAACGCACACGCCATGGCTCTGGATCGTCTAAAGCAGGCAGCGAGCCACGTGACGGGCATTGGCCGTGCTCCACATCCGCTTAATCCTTTGATCGAGACGGAAATTGAGTATGCCGTTGCCATTATCAAGAGAGAGCACAGCCATATTGCCTTCAATGCAATTACCCTGTATGAGCCACCCAAGGCGGTCATGCTGAAGTGGGTCAAAGACCCGGAGCACACTCCTCGCCCGAACAGAGTTGCGGACGTTGTTTGCATCGGGAAGGGCAGCAAGGTGTTTGATGGTCTCGTAGACCTGACAGATGGCAAGATACTCAAATGGGAAGAGACGCCGGGTGTTCAGCCTTTGGTTAGAACCCTATCGAGAAACGTTTTCATCGGCGGCACTGACCGTGATTAGATTACTATGGAGGATCTTCAGATGGTTGAGTCGGTTATCCGGAAGGATCCAAAAGTCATTGAGCAATGTGGTATCATTGGTATCCCACCAGAGGACATGCATAAGGTTTATTGCGACCGTGAGTACTCCGTGCTGCACGTCTCTTGCTGATCCGAATTGCTAATGATTACCAGCTTGGACTATCGGCTATGACGAACGATTCGGTTCGAACATCCGACTTCAACAAGCTTTGATGTACTATCGTCCACACTCAGACGACAGTCAATACACCTATCCGTTGGATTTCACACCAATTTATAATGCCGACACGCAGGAGATTATACATATAGACGTTCCACCTATTCGCCGGCCATTGAATAAGGCCCCACCAAACAACTACCATGCTGCGGCAATTGAGAAAGAAGGTGGCTTCCGTACAGACTTGAAGCCGATCAACATCACACAGCCTGAGGGCGTCTCATTTTCACTCGATGGCAGAGTTATTAGCTGGCAGAACTGGAAACTACATGTAGGCTTCAATTACCGCGAAGGCCTTGTTCTCTCAAATATCACGTTCAATGACCAGGGTACTGAACGCGATACTTTCTGGAGATTATCTCTCGCTGAAATGGTGGTTCCGTACGGAAATCCAGAGCATCCTCATCAACGAAAACACGCCTTCGACTTGGGAGAATATGGTGGGGGATATATGACAAATTCTCTCAGCCTTGGCTGCGACTGTAAGGGAGCCATCCATTATATGGACGCAGCGTTTGTGAACAAAGCTGGTACTGCTAGCACTATCAAGAATGCCATCTGTATCCACGAAGAAGATGCAGGCATTCTCTTCAAACACACCGACTTCCGCGACGAATCCGTCATAGTGACGCGTGCCCGCAAGCTAGTTCTTTCTCACATCTTTACAGCCGCAAATTACGAGTACTGCGTGTACTGGTGAGTTAGATCTTAGTCCTGAGGCTGGAAGTAGACTTCTGTTGACATCTTTAGGATCCTACATCAAGACGGTACCATTCAGCTGGAAATCAAACTCACTGGCATTTTGAACACATTCCCCTGTAACGAAGACGAAGATCTCCATGGCTGGGGCACACAAGTCTATCCAGGCGTTAACGCGCACAACCATCAGCATCTCTTTTGTATGCGTATCGACCCTAATATTGATGGCCCTAACAACACTGTCTACATGGTCGACGCTGCGCGTGGCTCTGGCGAAGTTGGCTCTCAAGAAAACAAGTACGGCAATGCTTTCTACGCGCTTAAGACGAAGCTAGCAACGCCTGAGCAGGCCGCCACTGACTACAATGGCGCTACAAGTCGCACATGGGAGATGTGCAATGAGAGCAAGATCAATCCCTATTCTAAGAAGCCCGTTTCCTATAAGCTTGTTAGCCGCGAAGTCCCCGAGCTGCTTCCGAAGCCAGGCGGTCTCGTCTGGAAGCGTGCCGGCTTCGCACGACACGCCGTGCACGTCACCAAATACGATGATGGACAGCTGCATCCGGCAGGACGCCATGTTCCACAAACCTCCGGCGAAGTCTCTCAGGGAATTCCACAGTGGATCGCGGCCAATCCTACCGTCGATATCACCAACACTGATGTCGTGTTGTGGCATACCTTTGGTATCACGCATTTCCCTTCGCCTGAGGACTTTCCTGTGATGCCTGCAGAGCCAATGACGTTGTTGCTGCGGCCGAGGAATTTTTTCACAAGAAATCCGTGTCTCGATGTGCCGCCGAGTTACTGCAGTGTACCAAGTGGCGTGAAGCAGGGAGGTGCGCTGGTGGACAAGTTGAGCAAAATGGCGTTTGGCGGAGATCAGAGTGGGACAAAAGGGTGCTGTCAGAAGTAGCACCACATCGCCAAAGCGAGAACAGCGGCAATCAAACCGACCGTCAAGGTCGTGTAACTTACGGCCGAATGGGACCACTTGTTCAACAACCGGAATGAATAGAGTAAGCTAGGATGCAGGATAGGTAGTGGGCTACAGACATTCGCAAGGTCGTGAAACAGTAACTGGATTTCCCTATCATGAGCAGAGATGATTGGCATTACTGACGAGCGTGTGATATCTGATAATTGGAAAAATATCTTCGACATATGGATGAACACGCCTTCTTTCCTTACAAAATAACGAGAAGGCTGGAGGCCCAGGAACGTCTGCTCCAGAAGGTGATGATTACCGCGGCGCATTAATCACGGAACTAACATCGCACCAAGACACTGGCATCGGAGTCATGCGAGCGAACAAACGCGGGGATGGGGCTGGCAACCATGGGATCGCCGGATGGACGCTTTCCGTTCTCAGGTTTCCCTCTGGTACATTCCACCTCACACCTTCGAGCAACAACCGTCGGATCTATGCTGCAGCTAAGCCGTGATACACACAGTCAGGAAAAGTGATGACCATCGTCTCGAACAAGGGCATGCGCGAGAAGCGGGGATATGTTTGCGATACTTGTGGGAAAGCGTATAAGAGGAGCGAGCACTGTATCCGCCATCAACGCAGTCACACCAACGAAAAGCCATTCAAGTGCAAATTCTGCCATCGCCGTTATGCGCGAAAAGATCTCGTCGTTCGTCATGAGAAAACTCTCCACAACCCCGTCACCCGCCCGCAACCCTCCGTTAATGATCGCAGTCATTCCATAGCCTCGTCAGTGATTGAGGAGCCACTAGTAACTATGGCGGCATGTGAAGGCCCAACAGATGCGCATGACGAGACTGATGCCAACGAGTCTGTGCCAAATGACTACATAGCCGTCGTTCCATCAGACAGGGCTAGCTCAACGACGTCGGTAACGTCCTGCGCTTCCCTTCCAGTCGACCAAACATCGACGTACGCCTCAACTAGCGATATACCCCTTTACTTGGAACAAACACATGATATTCACTTGATTCCCTTCAAATTTGCGTCTCCAAAACACACTGCGCTGCCTCTTGAAGGCCGTGGAACAGCGTCTGTCAATGATGTTTGTTCGGTAGATGGGAGGACAAGCCATTTTGACTTCACTGAGCCCTTCACCAGCTTTCCGCTTGATCTGATGCTACTCGTAGAAGCGGATTGTTCTCCTACTTCTGGAGATTTGCTGTCCCTCCATTCGTGCATTCAAGATAACAGCAACCCAATCCATGCTGATATGTTCGGCGAGGGACTGACACCGCCATACACTATTCAGGATGAGCAAAGGTGCACCAATGCGCTGAATCGTCCATCCCCAAACGATACATTCAGAGGCCTTCCCAGCATAACCAAAGCTCCTCATTGCAAATCACATTGTCCACAAATAAATGACACGCATCGGACTAATCTACTGTATACGGTACGAACTCGCTGCAGGGATAATGGGAGCCACTCTTGTAAATTTCCCACCCCTTCTGCGTTGAGTCGGTATATGCGAACATTTTTTGATTCATTTTGCGTACATCTGCCTTTCATACACATTTCGACATTGGACTGAGATAAGACTCCTTTTTCCCTTCTTTTAATAATGTGTGCTATCGGGGCACTCATGGGACCTGAGCAAGACGTGGCAACTATGCTTTCTGCCCAAGTTGAGGAGCTTGTGCAAGCGGACGAGCAAGGCTCCCTCGATTGTCACAGACTGGATCGATATGAATACATCATGCCACCTTCAGAACAGACTAAGCGAACATCTCACGCACATCCCATATGGCTACTGCAAACGAAGCTACCCCTCATTTGGTTTAGGGCGTTCTGTGGAAACCCTTATGTCGTCACAGATGCACTAAAGGAATTTGGATTTTTAGTAAACGTGAGTATTCACTGTCCCATGCAGGTTTCAATACCACTGACAATGAAAGCAGGCCTATTGGGACAGAATGTCCGACGTTCGGGCCGATCCGCACTTCGATAAACACCGGACATCCCCCTACTCTGACTGGCATTCATGGTGTCAGTTTGAACTTACGAAGAGGTACGGATAGATATTTCAATATGCCCTTATCTTACCAAGCAAGAGTTATATTTACTTAAGTAGGCTCTTGCACTCCATATTCATACTAAGTAATTTGTTGACCGCTGCATATGGAGCTACGCCTGCTCTTTCAGCCTTCCAGGATGGCGATATCGAGTTACCATGTCATGACAACCTCTGGAATGCGCCAACCGAAGAGCTTTGGAAGGAAAGGATTTCACTCTCGTTGTATACCAGGCAGGTAAGCCTCAAAGTTGGTGTGACGCAGTTGATGGGTGGCGCTCCAAATGATCTTTGGAAGAATGGACCACACATATTCTGGTCTCCTTTTGCTGCGGTGGTGATCATGTATGGTATTTCTATCCACCTGTGGCATAAATCGCAAATATTACTGCCCATCAGTGCTTCGCCACCATTTGAGCAGACTCAAGACCTGAAGTCTTTGATCCTGGACGGAGCCGCGGAAGCACTGAGTAGGTGTCACGAGCATATTTTGAGAGCGCGAGATGCGCAGTGTGTTCCTTGGACGGATTCTGAGGGCCCGTTGTTATTCAACTGCTGCTCGATTCTGCGTCTATGTCATCTTCGAGCAGTTGCGGACGTTGGAATTCTGGGCGTGGCACTATTACAAACCAGCCCACCAGTCATCACCCAAGCACTGCATAACTTCATCTCCACCCCTCCACAGCGGAACGCGATCGTGGTCAAGGCTATCAATAAAACATTGGAGGGGTTGGTGTTACCATGCACGATTGGTGGTAATTATTTATCCAAAAAAACAGCTGCTTTGACTTGGAGCATCGAAACTGCCATTCTTTCCGGAACAGCTGTGAGTCTCACCATTGGTACGTTCCATACTGCATGCTGTTCTAATTTAAATATCAGGTCTCTTTCTCATGCGATGGGTGCATTGGATGGAAATGCTTGTCAAAAAGCGTATCGAGTTGGAGCAGTCGGAAGCCTTGCTCCTAAATCACATACGTAACCATTGTCTCGAGCTTGAAATAATTGAAGCTGGGACAATCTCTTTAGCTGCTGGTATCGGAAAATACTATGCTACCTACTACGACGATACATGGGTTTGGAGGATCACTCCGCGAATCGCTACCGTATTGCGAGAGATGGGTAGCCTTTGCGAGAGTGAAACACGTATTTCATCGCCATTAAACCATGATATGTGCGCGAACATCCCAGCTTGACGCTTTCATTGAGCAGCGCTATTAGTAATACCCAATTCACTGCAACCTGGAAAGTCGAGCTGGACTCTGGAAGTCTCATTCCCAGGCTAGGCCATTTGGACAAAGCAGATGTAGGGACTTTTCTCTACAGAGCCATGTCCTTGAGATACTTCTGGAGATGAGACACGGCTTTTGTGCACAAAATCAAATGTCCAGGCATTGAATAGTGGCATCAAATGTTGGTATCAAATGTCACCCTGCCTTGGTATGCATATCCAGTTGGCGCCGAGGTTTAGCAACACTATTGAGGCAAGGAATGGACTTCCCGCTAGGAGCGATGAGAAGTGTACCAAACGCTGCTTTGCTCTACTTCATAAGCAGTCACAAACCCCGAGCGAAGTTTATTCTAGGCAATAAATATTGTTCACGATGAGTATTCTACTCAGTTTCCACTCTTCTCGTGCGCATTGAGTCTTATCAGCTGGACACGACGGTATGGGTTGCAAAACCTCGGCCAAATTGGAAATTTCAATTCAAACACGTCGTGATTTTAAGCGTTTGTGGAACTCCGTGAGTAGGTGCAATTGTGGTGGAAAGAAGAGGCCCATCGGAGTAAGTGGGGAAGACCAGATGTGCTACGTAACAAGCATTGTGGGGCAGTGTGGGGATTCGACCATCTACAAGCTGACGAATCCGGTCATATCAGAACGACGTAAACATATACTGCAGTGTTATTGCTCGACAGCCACCGATCAAGTAACATGGCACCGCTGCACAGTATCCCTTCTACAATGCGAGCGGCGGTGATTGAGGAATTCCAAAAGCCGTATCAATTCCGAGAAATCCCGACCCCAGGAAAACCAACCGGCCATGACCTACTGATTAAAGTCTTAGCCGCTTCTTACTGTCACACAGATGCAGTATTGGTTGAAGGCAAGATGTCTCAAGATTTGCCACGGATTGGATGCCACGAATTTGCAGGTCGTGTCGTAGCCGCAGGTTCAGATGTTTCGAAAGATCTCAATATTGCAATTGGCGACGAAGTTGGAGTTCCTGGCCGAGCGTATCATCCATGCGGAACCTGCAATGAATGCATACTGGATCATGGCGACCCTGAGGGTTACTCGCCATATTGCACTGAAGCGAAAAACCTTGGGCTCACAATGGACGGCGGATTCTGCGAGTACGCTTTAGTTGACAGTCGGCAAGTCGCACCTATTCCGGAGGGTATGACGGCTTTAGAAGCAGCACCTCTTATGTGCGCCGGACTAACTATATGGTCCGCGCTTGAGCGTGTTAAAGAGGCCAGTACCATCGCGATAATTGGTGCGGGTGGTGGACTTGGTCATCTTGGTGTTCAGTTTGCGGCTCATCTTGGAAAGCGGACAGTCGCTGTAGACAGAGGCGATGGGCCTCTGAAGCTGTTAAAAACCTTGGTTGATCAGATGGGCCCTTCGACTCCGGGGAGTACACTGCTAGTGGACTCTCTTGTACATGACGCAAAGTACGTGGTACAAGATGTTATGAATGGTGGAGTGGAAGCAGTAGTGTTTCTACCAGAGTCTCAGGCAGCATTTGCTTATGGCATGCAGCTACTGAGAAACCACGGTACTATGGTGGTAGTGAGCTTCCCTGGTGAGCTAAGATTCAGTGCCAAAGACCTGGTATTTCGAGACATCAAGGTCATCGGAAGCTTGGTGGGACGAAACCATCAGCTGAGGCAAATGCTTAATTTCGCTGCTAAGAACAAAATTGAGGCTGTCACGACACTATATGCTCTAGAGGATTTGAATGACCTTGTCAATCAACACCGTACTGGAATGGGCGGGAAACTCGTTGTGGACATGAACCAAAAAGGCAACGGTGGAAAACCTCTGACCTAATCTCGTGTACGTTGTAGCAATTGTTAGATTGTCGCAAATCATTATCGTATTTCTGTTTGAGGCAAGTTGGCATGTCAAAATGTAATAAAACTTGTTTACCACACAGCGCCGTTTATTAGCACCCTTATCCAATTGTCTCGAGGTTTTGATCTTGTACGATCACGCGTGTGGGCAAAGAGGCCCAGATCAAAGGATAGGTAACGGTACATCTGCTTCTTTTGAACGCCAAGAAGCCTCGCTGGGAGCCTCTTCCGCCATCACCACTAGTGTTCAGCATATAAGCAAATGGCGGCGTCTCGGGTGAAGACATGCGAAGTAGACTCACGGCAAGGCTTGATAGATGCCCTAATTGGCCCAAAAACGCAGTTTATTTGTACGACCCCACATATCTTCCCCACAATATGTCCCGGGATCCGTTCCGAGCGATTCTTGGCTATCATGAATGACGGAGAACTAAAAGGTACAGTGCCAACGTCCGCATCTCTACAATTACCTTGCCTTCATTCGACTTCGGAATTGCCTCAGTCAATCGCACAAAAATGGATTACCCGATTACCATCCCAGATTCTAATTCAACTGTTCGTGTTCGTGCAATCGATACAACGACCACTATGGTGTGTGACGCTTCCGCTTTCGTACGACCGGTCATAAAAGGCCACGAAAGACTGAATTTCAAGACCATGTGTTTCTTGATTGAGAATGAATCGAAATCACGGCGGATCTTGTTCGACTGCGGGGGAAGGAAAGATTTCTGGAATGCCTCACCACATACTCGGAACATGATTGGAACATACGTGCCATCTCTCAGAGTCGAAAAGGGAGTTGACGAGATACTCACTGAGGTAGGGTTTGACTTGAAGAGTCTAGGTCAGTCTGTCTACAGCGTTTATTTATTGTGTACAGCTAACTGAATGACAACAAAGATGCTATTGTGTGGAGTCACTGGCATTGGGATCATATCGGAGATGCTTCCAAATTCCCACCACTTACCGACATTGTTGTAGGACTAGGATTTAAGAGTAACTTTTTACCTGGATACCCAGACAACCCTAACGCGTTCATGTTGTCGAGCGACACATCGTAAGCTTGCCCTTCGTCAACTCCCGTTTCGATAATGCTTACGCAAGTAACAGCGGGCACTTTATCGATGAAATAAGTTTCAAAGATGATTTGTGCATTGGCAAATTCCGAGCTCACGACTATTTTGGAGACGGCTCTTTCTACATTCTAGACGTTCCTGGCGTAAGTATATTACGACATTTTCATTTGGTACATCTGCTGATTTCTTAGCACACAATCGGACACGTATGCGGTCTTGCTCGAACGACACCGAATACATTCGTATTCATGGGGGGCGACTGCTGTCATTTTGTAGGAGCCTTCCGCCCATCTTCAGCTGTCCCACTCCCAGATATAATCCCGCAAGCGCAACTGGACTCCACCCTCCCTGCACCATGTCCATGTTCCTTTTTCACAGCTTGTCACCCTTCTACAACGAGGAATGAACAAGGTACGGTAGAAGACGATGATGCAAGACGTAGTCCATTTTACAAGGTCACACAGAGCGAAACATCTGCCTACACAGACACGCAACAGTCGCAAGAAAGCATAGATCATCTGCGTGCCTTTGACGCAAACCCTGACATATTGATTTGCCTAGCTCATGACAATACGCTGTTTGATGTCTTTCCTCTGCTGACCACGTCTCCCGAAAAAGATGTCAATGATTGGAAGATACAGGGCTACAAGGAGCGCACGAGATGGGCGTTTTTGAATGAGCTTCCTCGTGATGGCAAGCCTGGGAGACCACCTCTAGTTTCAGGGCAGTGGAAGAACGGAAAAGTAATAAGTCTGGGGGATGACTCTTACTTTCACGAAGTGGTATAGAGCCACGATTAGGATTTGTATCTTTTGTATTTCTAACCCTTTGCTGGTTCTCATGCGGTCTCCAACTGTTTATCTTATCCTAATTTTTTTCAAGTCTATGCTTTACCTCTCTTGTTGCAGAGTAACACCGAAATTTCCATTTCCAGAAACTGGATACTCGAGTACTACTAGCAGAGCGTAGGGTGACCCCACATGAAGATTCGGGGTAATAGTCGAACTATTTGCTAAGTAACCAATGACCATAGGGTGACCCCACATACATATTCGTACCAACAACCCCACCCTGCAATTAATTTCGTCTAAGCAAAGGAACACATAATCCAAAATGCCGCACCAGGATTGAATATACCGATGATAGTTATGTCGCAACCAACAAGTCAATCTCCAGCATGTGTTAGGGTTTCCGCTCTAACGGGTGGCCATCTTACCCTTCCCGAGAAACTCTTTGTGACCGACGCCGATAAATCTAAACGAACGTTGGTACCGTCAATGTGTTTCCTAGTCGAAAGGTGCGATCCGACACACGACGGCAAGATAACCCGAATAGTGTGGGATCTAGGTCTCAAACGGGACTTGGCCGCCTACGAGCCTGCTATGCACCATCATATTGCCAATCGCCAACCCATGTTGACCCAGCCAGATGTCGCACAGTGTCTGCGAAATGGAGGGCTTGACCCTACTAAAGATATTGACATCGTCATGTACAGCCACGTACATTGGGACCATGTCGGAACTCCAAGCGATTTTCCGAATTCGACGTTTATAGTAGGATCAGGGACGCTTCATCTGCTTGCCCGGGGCGCTCCGCCTCATTATCCCGCGGACATTTTCGACGCAAAGATGCTGGATGAGTCGCGGACCAAGGAACTGCCGTACGTCCACGAGGCAGATGCGATCTACGCACGAAAGGAGCTTCAAACAAATCATAAGTGGAAGCCAGGATTTGGATTCCCAGCTGTCGTCGACTTCTTTGGTGACGGAAGCGTTTTGATAGTTGATAGCCCGGGTCACCTGCGAGGACACATCAATGCCTTGCTTCGTATTGATAAGGACCGTTATGTTTATCTCGGCGGTGACTGCTGTCATGATATCCGCATTTTGGAAGGGACCAAAGACATTGCACTTTATGATGATGGACATGGTCAGCTGAGAAGCGTGCATATGGATACGGATACTGCGAGACGGACAATTGCTCAGATCAAAGAGTGTCTGGGCGAGTCGTCTGAGCTGCGGAGGCAAAATACTAAAGTTGAGGTAGTTGTGGCGCATGACGGATCGTGGATGGAGAGAAACCCACATTGCTTCTTTCCTGGGTATATATAAAATGGGAGAATGGATGAGACGGTCTAATTCAGCATTCCATATGGAGTTAACTTATTCAATCGCTGGCTACGGCACGGCGTACTTTCAGCGCTTCCTCGAAGAGTTTCTTATGGAGAGTGTCGAAACGTGTTTTGCTTAACATTTTCGGATTGCTACTGGCTTCCAAGAGCCCAAATTAAAAGGATTTTCTTTCGTCAAGCTATCTCACATGAATGCTATTTTCAATTTAATTTACATGAGATGATAGTAATTAAGGTGATCCAACTCGCCAACGGACCCACCGGGGAAGGTGCCGAATGCGTTTATCTATGTACCCCCACCTATCCTTCCAAGCCAAAATTTGCCGTATGGGAAAGCTATAAGACTGATTCCCCACGAAAGAATGTCAATGCTTACTTTTGAGTTCCTCGGCTAGTATTGGGTAAGCTAGATTAGCTGTGTGAATGCTGAGGTGCGATGCAATTTCAAGAACCTCGAGTATTTCTTCCACAGTCGCTCCGTACCGCAGCGCATTCCTCATGTGCTCTTTTAGTCCCGGACGATACAGATGTGTAGCCGCGGCATCAAATGCGCAGTATATTAGTTCTTTGAACTATGTAGGTTAGAACAATGCAGAAGACCGCTCGGTTCGAGCGACTTACCTTCGGTTCTAAGACGCCTAAGTTCTTGTTCTTTGTGTCATCCGGAAGCCATGGGACTGAGGAAAAGGTGGTATATGCCGCGAAGAAGTCTGGATCCAGTGCAAGGAACTCTTCCCAGAAACTATGCCAATAACCGCGCTTCTGGGTGAAGTCTTTCTGCAACTGAAGCTTCGAAGCGTCCAAAGGCTTTCCTGCTGTTGGGTGACTATCGTAAAGCCCTTCCTCCTTCATGACCTCTACTAATGTAGGGACGCCAACGTTGCATGCATGTACACCAAGCGTAGATGTAAGCTGGATGATTTCTTTTATTTCCGCGCCAGTGGCTCCATTAGCCAAAGCCTCCTTAATATTCGCCCTGATACCTGGCGCGTACAGGTGTGTTGATGAAGAGTTGACAGCCAGGGCAATCAAGCCCTGGACCTTAGGCGAAAGATGCCTGCTCTTTTTCGGGACAGCTTTCAATCCCACGCTAGCCCTAAAGAATTCTGGATCAAGCTCCGAGAATGATTGCCAAGATTCGTCCCATTCCCATTCTCCTAAGTTCGCGACGAACGTTTCTTTGAGTTCGTGACTCATCGTAACATCGGTGTGAAATCTGCGATGTTCTTGGATTTCTTAACTTCAGTGGTAAGGTGGGGCATGTAGTACCAAGAGGTATACACTATATACACCAGCACAGCTTTCCCCACAAACGAGGTACTGACCCCACATTATATCCCCCACGGCCCTTTACCCCAACTGTCAACCCAAATGGGAGAGGTGTAGACTTGCTATATCACCCTCTCGACACTATACATCGATATTTGCTACTCCCAGTATTACGTCTTGTGCTTTTCTTTAACCGCATCATCAATATGGCCTTCGATAGAACATCAGTAGCATTCATAGGTAAATCCGGAGCAATCCGCGAAAATCCCCCTGCTAATGCAAAATCTCTAGGGCTTGGCGTCATGGGCTACCCTATGGCTGTCAATCTTCGCAAAAAGATGAGCCCTGAAGTGACACTATGTATTTGCGATGTCTCTGAGACAGCCCTATCCCGTTTCCAAGCGGAAATGAGCGGCGAAGGCCCGATAAAAGTGGTAAAAAACGGCTTTGAGGCAGCGAATGCTTCGGTAAGTCTCAGCCGCATAATTGAGTACGGGTAGCCCTCCTTACACGTTCAGGATATTGTACTTTCCATGCTTCCTAGTAGCGCTGCTGTCAAATCAGTCTACTGTGATCCCCAAACAGGTATCTTAGGTGGGGCAAAGGTTGCATTTCAGAAGTCGCGGGCTCCTAAGTTACTCATGGAATGTGGAACAATCGAGAGCGATACCATAGCAGAAGTCGCGAAATCTGTTTCAGATACATCTCGTGAGTTGGGAGACAGTGAATACCTCAGTTTTGTTGATGCTCCAGTGTCTGGTGGTCCTATGGGTGCCGAGGCTGGTACATTGACTTTCATGGTTGGGACAGATCGACCAGATCAGACTTTCGATACAGTAAAACAGGTTTTGAAGACGATGGGATCTCCGGGTGGTATCTTCCTGTGTGGCGATATTGGCGCCGGGACGGCATTCAAAGTCATCAACAACTACTTGTCAGCTATCACTAGTCTGGCAGCTTCGGAAGCTTTGAACATTGGATCGAAACTCGGCTTGAACATTGCTACTCTAACTGATGTCATCAATGCTAGTGGAGGACAGTGTTGGGTTACTTCGAAGAGCAACCCAGTTCCTGGCATACAACCCAATACGCCGGCTAGCAGGGACTACGAGGGAGGTTTTCGCATCGAACTTTGCAGGAAGGTACTCAAGATGGGAAGCGATTTGGCCGCCTCTGTTGGTGCACGCACAGTTCTCGATCGATCAACGCTCAAGGCTTTCGACGAGTGCATGAGTGATCCTCGCTACAGTGGGAAAGACGCTCGTGTGGTCTACAAGTGGCTCAACGAAAGCGTCAATTCATGAGCCATATCGCCAAAAAGAGCAAAAATAAGTTAGAGCATCGCTTTCCATAGATGAAAGCAATTGCTGGGTGAAGTTCTAAGAGTCCAGCATGATTCCAATTGTCAATAGCTGTTCTTGATCATTGGGGGAGAATATCTTTCTAGGTTTTGTGATGACAAGCTTTAATACAATAATGATACAATCGAGCCACTCGCATGCAATTAACAACAAACAGGACAGCTGCTTACAATACCCATGCTGTACTCTACATCCCCTTCGAAGAATTGAGGGACATTGCCTCCAAGCTCAGACCTGTTCTGTTGGTTGTATGTGAGGTTTTATGTCCACCCAAATGTCGAGTTCTTTAGTACGTTGGTGGCGCTTTAAGGAGCCATCGCAGCTCTTATCGATAGATACTACTTGGCTTACGCTATTGAATGGCTGCCATGTAAAGTTATATAGCTCGTTAAATGACTATACTGTCGTTTCATACGCTGTACGCCTTTCTGAGGGTTCGGTTGTGGTAAGTAGTGGGAAATCTTACTATTACGCACGCTCACTCCATACTAAGTACAATCCAGCTCTCAACCAGTCATATCATAAGCTCATCATATGTCACTTGCTCAGCTATCTCGGCCAGTGTAGCCACATACGCTCACTCTTAGAGTGAACTCCCAAACCATCTACACGATGCCAACGCGACGGTCGTCTGAAATCAGTAGCTTTATGTTTGACTAGGCAGGTATAAGTAAAAAAACGTGCATTCACTATAGTCTCTTTAAAAATAACGCCTGAGAAAGAGTAAAAGTTGACCGAGAATTGTACAGAGGGCTAGGTTCAAATCGGATTCCGTTAGAATGAGCTTAGGTTATATCACATACTGCTATTCTATAGGGCAGGTTTAACGACATATGTAGGCGCATTGAATCTCAGCACACCCTTCTTACCTAGACTGTACGGATCCATATACGCTTTCCATTGTGGCTGATGTTGCGTCCCTTCTTCTAATGCATTCAAACCAAAGACTCGCAAGATAATGTAGATTTCAGAAGGCGTCTCCGAGGTGACGCGCAGCTTTTTTACCTACTTGAAATTAGCCCAATCATGCACTCCAGCTATGTGGTTCGATGGAGCATACCAACTTGTGCTGATTTTCACTCATATAGAAAGGAGTGGTTGCGTCTCGGCTAGTTGTGCTCTTGACCTCTATGCGATATCGTGGCACATTGCCACCGTTGCAGCATGTATTGAGCCAATCTGGTACTTCATGGTGATGCTGTGTCTGCATGAATTGATGGGTAAGCGCACCCTCTGTATCTAAATAGGTAAAGTCTGATATTTCGCGGCCAAAGGCCGGGAAACCGGCGCGAGTGCGCAAAGAACTAGTCCAATTAACCTCTCCTGTGAATCCAGGGAGCCTGAGAACATCATGTAGCAAGGTGTACACCTAGACAGAAATCAACTTTAAGTACTGACCTAACATGACGACTCAACACGGCGGCTAGACTTACATATTGTTCGCCCAAGAATCCAACCTCAAAGTCACGGGCTTTCTGCTCATCGGTACGGTTCGGGACTGGTCCGCCTCGTAGAGGATGTTTTTTTCGGTCTGAGCTAGAGTAGGTACGGGACGCGGTTGCCCAACGTTGAGTGCTTCTCTCAAAGAATTGAGATCGAAAGTTCCATCATCCCTCATAGATTGGCTCGCGGCAAACTGGGCCAGACTGGTCAACGATGGCCAATTATCTTGTTAACTTGATGTTCATCAGCGAGCCCTGACTAAGTGGTTGTGATCACAGCTAATGTCCCTCCCTGCGTCACGCAAATCCCCCCGTGCCGTAAGAAACGAGAGGTACTTTATCCTTAGAAAACAATATCTCTGTGTACCTGTTTTTTTTATTCTATATTTATTGATAGATTATATTTTTTTACCTTCTTCTATAGATATAGATACCTCTTCTTCTAAAAGTTATACTATTATTATTAAATCTAAGCTAATACGCTAAAGATATCTTTTTTCTAGAGAAATATAGTAATACTACTATAGATAGCCTTAATCTTACTCCATAGTACTCTATACTAAGAAATAAAGTTATATATACTAAGGAAATCTTTAGCTATTCTATAGAACTAATTCTAGCTCTTAGTTATTATAAATAATTGTCAGGAGCTCACCCTCCTTGAGCCACCTTGCACCATCTAGGGCCAATCTGGCCCTTGTTAGCCTATCTTAGTCATATCTGACTTATCAAAGCAGATATAAGCACGAAGAATACTACCTAAGCTTAGTAGCTGTTCGTCTATGTAAAATACAGACCGTTTACTCACGACTACTATTGTTTTACTCTACCCGTGCCTAATAACCCTAAAACGTCTCACAATAATAAGAAGAATCTTCTCCTTAATCAAAAATGTAATAGCTAAAGACCTATTAACGTCTATATTAGAAAGTAATAATTATCATAAAGCTTAGAGTTACGTAATATACTATTCTACCAAAACTAGCTATGTAGAACAGTAATATATAAAAGAATAGTAGTACTATTATAACTATTCTACTAATATAGAATAGATAGAACAGTAGAATTAGAAGTAATAAAGATTTAAAGATTTATAAAAGTTATTATTTACTTTTATTATAGTTAACTTAGCTTACATTTTTTTACTAGTTACTTAACTTTATACCATTAGCACTGATTAGTTTATTTAATATAGATTAAGAATAATAAGATTTATTATTATCTATCTTATAAGTATATCTACTCCACTACATTACTAGATAAACAGTATAGAATACTAATATAAAGCTTACTAGCCTTAGTATAGACTTAGTAAGAGAGGTATGGATTTAAACTCTATATAATAATAAAGACTATTTAAGAATATACTCTTCTTAGCTACTTTACTAAACTACCTATCTAATTACATCTTAAGATAGTTAAACTCCTAAGGGAACATGTCCCATACAATAATCTCAGCCGTCAAGGCTTCCCTGTGCCATGGGAATAGTCACATCCCATTTTTATCCCATTCTTTTATCATCTGATCCTTCAAAGAATCAGGGAAAAGCTTAGAGTGGATTGATTTAACCGAGAGAACTGATTCGTGTAAATGGGGCATATTTTCGCGACTTGCTTTGAATTTGGGAAGACGAATAATCCCCTAAAACGATTCTCTGGCTCTCAGACTAGACATGAAGCCGATTTTGCAGATTAGTTCGGTCTTGCTCTGGTTCTCAGTAGCTCTGAGCCCTGCATATTCCAAAGCCATACCGTACAAGTCAGTAAGAAAGCCGACCAAGACAATCTACATTACTAATCAGATCAGTGGAAGTCCTCAATCCGACCTACTCACTAGCCGACAAGACGTTCAGCTGCCTCAAGCATGTTGGTCTAGCTGTGAGCTATCAAGTGGGTGTGGCCGAGGTGTCTGCAGCGTTGGCTCTCTGGCAGCCAGGTTGAGCTTTGCTAGGGGCGTGATTGCCAACGCCTCTGTCGAGAACTCCGATGTTGATAAGAACCCTCTGCACAAGAGAACGTTCCGATATAGCGCAGACCAGAGAGACCTACCTGTTAAGAAAACCCCACTAAAGAATAATCAACCAGTTATGTAGTTCCTATTCTCAATGAGGAAGGGCGTAGGGATACATACTTCGGACCTTTGTTGCCTTTGTTTCATGACAGAGGTAATTGCCCCACAATCATCACCTTGTTCAAACTGCTCTAATGATTAGATAGGTTTATCTACTGCTGATGAGCGCGCAGTCAGTGTTTAGCGTGAATTTGGTTCCAAACCGTTTCAGATTGGAACCAATGGTCTTATGGGCTGCACTATTGTCGTCTTTGTTCCAAAAAGCCATGTTTGGATGGCGAGTGTGCGAATAACAGCCAGCCAAAATAATCTTATATACTGTGGCACGATACGTGATCGAGCTTAAAAGATCATAGGGGCGACCCGCAATCGAGTAGATAGAAATAAGCTGAAAGTTGATCGTTGCAAAGGATTGATTGGAGAAGGTGCCTATCTACGTACGAAAGATAATCGTAATACATACTATACGCTTAGTCACGTCATACTACACCACAATACAGAACTAACCTCTACCAAAGACGCATCTTTGGGAAGTCTACTCAAATGACGGCGATGACTCTACCACAAACAAAGCTTTTGAGGAGCAGGTAATCGATTTCATCAAGGGAAGGCCTGTGCAAAATCCCTCTCCCTCGCCTATCCTGAGGAATAAACCAGATCGGCTGAACAATGAAAAGACAAGTAACGACCTCAAAGTCTACGTCGCACCGACCGGTCCTGGCGTGGACCCAGAAGTGTTCAAATCAGAGAGAGGACAGCGAACCACGTTACATTATTTGGCCCCAACAGTAGACAATGCAATGAACAACAAGGATTACCCACTAAAATACCCCAACCATGTGGATAGTATAGTAAGGGCCATCAAAGATCAACTGGGAGGCAAGATGCCGGGGCTCAAACCACATAAATACGTTCCACTAAACCCCGACAACAACGCAGGGGATGCGAAGAAGATGTTTGAGACGACCCGAGGGACTGCGCTGTTTCAATACGACCCTGACAGCGATGGAAAAGGCAAAAGAGCATGGCGTTTATGGCTTGAGGACGATTTTGTTGCTGTGAATCTGTAGTAGCAAAGCTTCAACTTGACAGAAGAGTAAACGCTCTGGCGTGAACCTACATTAGAAAATGTCAACCTAAATGGGTGCTGCATTTAGCGGATTTCCATTGACGCAAACTATCTCTACTCGGCTTGCACGTGATATCTCACTCTGGGATCGGTTAAATAAACGAGAGTCTATAAAGGGAACGGAGCGGCCGCCATTTCGCAGGTTTCCCTTCGTTCCCATTGTTGTTCACAACAGGACGTGCAACTCAATTCAAGTATACTGCCTGATCCCCTACGCCGAGGTTCGCCAATATCCTACGCCACACTAAAATACCATGGAAGCACTTCCACTACTAGTATTAGAGCTAGTGTATGAATACCTGGGGCAATGTGAACCTCACAGGGCCAGTTTGGTAGCTTTCGCGTCGGCTAGCAGGGTATGCCGCGCTGCGGCTAGGCGAGAGCGCTTTTCCCGCCTGTCAATCAACACAGACGACGCAGAATTTGATAAGAGATTGGAAAGATTGGAATATATATTGGATCAAGCGAACAGCCGTGCTTATATTACGGTTCTGGAGCTCGGGACCGGTGCAGACGACCAAGCCAAGTGCGAGGATAACAAGAATAACGCCTTGTATGTCTCATGGACGAAACTTGCCCCCGACTTTTATCCGGTATCTTCCCTTCAAGCGTGGAAATCAAGGAATGAGCGTCGACCCGACGAATACTGGCAACGGCTTGCGCAATTTATCTCTGGCCTCCACCTCAGAGACATTATATGGATGTCGACGGCGCAGTTACCTTGTTGTATTCTCGCTGTGTTACATAAGCAAATGCCGGCTTGTCGGCTACACGTCCATGGACTAGATTTCCACAGCCTCCATCAACAGGATATCCTTCAAGACATTGAGGAATCTGATTACATGCTAGCGACTTCTCCGTGTTTGTATAACGTCAGTGTTCTCTACTCCAAGTATGATGCGACTGGTTGGGCAAACTACAACAGAGAGGCCACATTGCAATTGTCGGCTGGGCTAGCACCCAACCTGAAGCACGTCTCTATGTGGGACAATACACCACCACCATCCGGGGAAATTATACGACAGAGGCCCACGCGACCCCAATGGCAGGGGTTTCATCCTCAGTCAGATGGCGAATGGTGTGAGATACCCCAAGCTAAAGGTCAAATTCAGGATCTTGCTATCAACGCCCTGTACGAAGTTTCTGGATTAGATTTGGCCTCTTGGGAGTGCCACACTGATTTCTCTATTCTGCGATCTCTCCAGCTTGAAAGACTGATGGAGTTGGATGTTCTTAAAAGATTAGCTGATCTTGCAGAACAAGATGGGCTCTCGCGCTTGAGATCTCTGAGTCTACCAGCTATCTCCGGTGAATACGTGGATCGTGTCGATGCTGAATCAATAATGACACGGCTCTGTGCATCACTGCACCCTTTGGTCGAGCTTGGAATTGTTGCGCCCGGACCCATGAGCTTCGAGGCAATACTTGAACGCCACGGCCACGGTCTACAAGTGCTTTGTATTGAAGACTTCATTCTTTCAGCACACCAGGTCATCCAGCTGCGAGATTCATGCCCGAGAATCAGAAAGCTGAGCATTGAAATGCTACGCTCTGCAGGTGATCATGTCGAGGTTCGAATATACCAGACCCTGGGCTCTATGCGATACCTGGAAAACCTATCACTAATGCTCAAATGTACTGACTATCGTGAGGATGACGGGCCAGATGCCCCTTGCATCCTTGGGATGCCTTCGAACGATGAAGAAGATCAAAAAGCGATGGCAATCGCCATCCGCAAAGTTTTCATCAACGCTGCTGTAGATGAGAGTCTTGCACGATCCATCTTTCGACAAATTTTGGCAACTCATGCCTCGGTTAAAGCTGGCCTGCCTCCAAAGCTGGATCTCATACGTTTGCGGGTAGGCATAGTATCGGTACTTAACGACCAAAGGATGGGCATGGGTTTCGAAGGCGTTCTTGAATGGATAGCGAGAAGCTGGATATGCAGGCGTGACCCTCGAGACACACACCAAGACGATGTCAAGATTGAAGAAATCAACAGTGACACCAGACTCCGCAATAGCGAGCTGCTTGAAGATGACATGGATGAATTGATGGAAAGCGAACAGTTTGCAGATATTTGGAAATCCATATGGCCAGAGACAGGAGCAGGTTGGAAAGAAGAGTGGCAGAGTATTCCGCTTACTAGTGCAAAAGACTAGACACTTAACCAGTATAAGGCGACGAAAGTGACCTGGTTCGTGCTAAAATTAGCTTAGCGTTACAGTTCCCACCCACATTAATCTACTTTGTCAGCCCCAACTCGCGGAATCTAATTTCGAGGGATTAGTTCTTGAGTGGAAAATGTCAAGATGTCCATCAATTGTTAAAGTGATAGGCCCGTGTGGATATTAGGCGGTTTATCCGAATTCTGCCACAGCTGCTGCGTTTACACAAAATTCATGGATGGATTTTCCTAAAACAATACATTCCCCATAAATCATCTAGACTGTCTTCAGTAGCATAGTGAGTACTGAGTTAATTGTGAGTTCTATTTGAATCTATTTTGGGAATACAATATGCCAAGCCACAGTTACTAAATTCCCTATTACACTGACCAGTTCTGTTATGAGCTCAGACACCTAGTAGTGGCTACTTCAACTGCTCTACCAACAATAAATAACTATTTTTGACTTTCAAAGCTGTCCACTATCACCATAGCGCGCCTAACATGGTCGATCATGAAGTATCTATTTAATCTACCATCCACAATTGTTGCGTTAGTGTTTCTAAGTCTTCAAAATTCGCTGCTGCCACGTACAACGTTCCGCGATCAACAATCTGCGATTGCCTCACTGGGCAAGTTCAACGCGTAATAGCTCACCGCTAAGAGCAGTGGTTTTCACCAGATCAAGAATCTAAGCTCTTCAACTGGATCCTCTGCAAAGATAGCTGCCCGCGCCGACCTAGCCATGCACTCCTTTAGCAAGTGACGATCCGGATACTCGATCAGAATAGTGATACAGCCAAAGGTGTCAGACGACCACAAAGAGAAACTGCTACAACGATTTAGCCAGCTTTCGGTAGGGGTGCCGGACAGCGTAACGCTGCGGACGGGCCAACGCCAGATCACGTCTTCCAACACCCACCAGTCTATTCACTTCTACCAACCACAACACGACCAATATGCAACCAACTAACGGCGAGCTTGTTGCTCTAGATCATGGAGAACAAAAACCTGTATATGCCAAAGTCGCGAAAAGATTCGGTGTTGATCCGAGAACGCTGAGTCGCGACTGCAGTTACTGCTATCTATATAGCTAGCTATCCTATCCAGTATTATTAAGCTTTTAGGTAACTATTACAACTTGATTTTTGTACAAGAGGTATCGCTTTAATGCATATCTAATAGCTTGTCTTTATTATCTATTGTATTGTCGTCGCTGCTGTTATCTTAATGTCGAGAGAGTTGGCAGAGCAGCTGGTACAGGCGGACTTGGTAGCGGACTGCTGCAGCTACCTCTGCTGCCTCTATGTTATCATTTGTAAGCATGCTCTCATTGTACTTGACGCTGCGATTCTCTTGTACGCGCTGCAGTTTGTATTGCGCCTTGGTGTTATAGTCATCATGGTTAACGGCGTACTCACAGCACGCAACGCCGTGCATAATTGTGACGCCGCTGGCTACGCGCTTAAGGTGTTTCTTGCTCCAATTCTGTATTTTAGGCCACATCCGCTTCTATTTGTTAGCAATCGTTGTTATCTCGTGAAGTGGCTTTGCAGTGAGCTTTTGTTGTAAGCGGGCGACGTCATTAACCTGGCGGCGTTGTACTATTGAGCGCGCGTCCTGCGAGTAGGTAGGTCCACCATCCGCTTTAAGAGCACGGCGTTTATGACGACGGCGCTCACCTTTAGCAAGCTGCGTTACTCTATATGGTATAGCTCGCGCTGTGAGCCCTCCGCGATGCGCACAATTACTGAGACACCACGCTTGTGTTTAATAACGCTGGCAGCAACGTCACGTAGGAGGTGCTCACGAAGCACAGCGTAGACAAAGGGCTCTTGCGCCTGAATTTGGCAGACATATTTTGGTGTAATCTAGGCAGCTTCACCGGTCGTGGGTTCTCTGGCTCTGGTGTTGTGTCCCAGTCAAGCTCATCGCGCTCTCCTTGCGCGCGCCGTCGTCGTCGGCGCGCGCTTAATTGCTCACCCTGTAGCGCTATCCGAACTTGTGTGAAGCGCTGCAGTGGCGGTGGGCACGATAGTAATGAGCCTAAAGGCGGCAAAGTGCTTTGTATGTGCGGTGTCGTCTGTCGCAACTACTACGTAAGCTGGCGGTAGTGCGTCGCATTCATACTTGCTGTCCGTGTCGCGCAGCTGTAACTGGTCAGGTCCAAGCTCTGGCTCCCACAGATTAAGATCAATTCGCCCACAGCTGCTCTATGTAGTAAAGCGCGTGAAGGTAAGAAGCCATATCTCAGCAAGAGTCGCCAGAAAGTCTGCCTTGTAGATGTCTTTTGAGCCGGTGCGAGACGCCCACTCAAGCAGCGGCCGTAGTACCACCCGAGTGGTTGAAAAATACCTGCCCTACCAAGCTTTTTTGCCATGCAGTCTTGTGCAGATAAGAATTTGCCTAGCTTTGCCGTCCCGCCAATCATTGCCAGCTTCATATCTTCGTCCCTGTTCCCTCGGGGAGGAGAGGCACAAATTCGGATTAGCACGAGGGCCGGACTCGTCAAGTGTCGCCACATAGAATCTCCGCTTTATGTGCCACGCGGCTGTCCCACATGCGATATGAACCTTTCGTTGACCCATTTACAGGCCGTTCACCTATTTGCAGTTGCAACTCGTTCCTCCCAAGACCCTAGCTGATCTGCCCAAGATGTCGTCGTCTGACGAGGAAGCCGGTGCGCACGCCAAGACAGCTCATATCGACGAAAAGAACTTCAACGACACCAGCTCTCCCAATGTCGAGCTGTACAACAATGCCTACGTCAAGCAAGATAGCGGCATCCTCTCTCGTCTTCGAAGCATCGAATCAAGCCTGGATGCCAAATTTGGTATCGAATCGGAAGCCATCAAGAGGAAGCTGCCAGAAGAGAAGAAACCAGTCCGCTTCCATGAACAGCTTACCATGTTCTGCCTCTGGGCCTCCGGCACAATGAACACGTCCTGTTTCGCGACCGGCTTCCTCGGCTGGGAATTCGGATTGTCCCTCAAACAGTCCATCGTCATCATCATCTTTGCTTCGCTCCTGGGAGGTGCTCTTACTGGATTCGCAGCCACCTTTGGCGCCGTCACTGGTCTTCGACAGATTTCCGCTTCCCGATATAGCTTCGGTTGGTGGCCAAACAAGATCGTTGCTTTCCTCAATGCCATCGTCCAGATCGGCTGGTCTGCAGTCGCTTGCATTACTGCAGGTCTAGCCCTGGAGGCTGTTGCAGATGGTCACCTCTCTCTTGTCGTAGGCATCATCATTTTGGCAGTAGTCGCTCTCATAATCTCCTTCGTCGGCCTCAGTGCGATTCTGGTCTACGAGCGATATGCTTGGATAGTCTTCTTCATCATCTTCATGATCTTTTTCGGCGAGGCAGGCAAATATGCCGACAACACAACTCCTGCAAGTGTGTCTGGGATCAACCAAGCTGGCGCAGTCTTGACCCTCATCGCCATCATCTACGGCAGCTCTTGCTCGTGGTGCACCATGGCCTCCGACTACTACGTACACTATCCTGCTAGCATCTCCCGAGCCAGAGTCTTTCTTATGACAACCTTTGGCATTGCGATTCCGACTAGCATTGGCATGATCGCTGGCGCCGTCGTGGCATCGGCGCTCAACAACAAGCCAGAATGGAAGACGACCTACGAAAACGATGGAATTGGCTTCTTGATCCAGGAGTTCCTCTACCCACGAGGATTCGCTAAATTCCTCCTTGCCCTGCTTGTGCTCTCGGGAATCAACACTAACGTCATTAGCATCTACAGCGCTGCTATTTCTTGCCAGCAATTTGCTCGCCCATTTTCAAAGATTCCTCGATTCATTTGGACCTTCCTTGTCTTCGCCTGCATCCTCGCTCTTGCTCTAGGTGGACGCGAAAAGCTCAATGCTTATCTGCAGAACTTCTTGGGTATCCTTGGATACTGGTGCACTTCATACTTCATCATCCTCTTCTCTGAGCACTTTGTCTTCCGTGGCAGCAACTTTGATAATTACGATCTTGATGGGTGGAATGACCCAAGCAGATTACCATTGGGCCTTGCGGCTGGTACTTCGTTTGGCTTGGGAGTTATTGGCTGGTTTATGGGCATGGATCAGACATGGTTTGTAGGACCTGTCGCCAGATTGATTGGCAGCACTGGTGGTGATGTCGGTAATGAGATGACACTTGTGATCACTCTAGTCACCTTTATTCCTCTCAGATTTCTCGAGAAGAAGTATATAGGCCGTTGAGCCCAGTAGGTAGAATATCTACTCCGTGCTTTGCTTCTTTGTTATGAGGTGGCGCAACTTAACCGGCCTGAATTTCCAGCTTCACTTTGCCATAATATTCTCTAGCCTAGAATCACGTGCACTGATATAGCGAATATCTAGCTAGCATCAACGCCTGTGCTTGGCAAGTCGCTACACTATTTGTGGCTGTGTTCTGTCCTCTTTCGATACATTATCCCGTACTTACACGTGTAAGGTATACATATGGTGGCGTTGGCGCCTCGCTTCGTTATGTTGCCCTTAGCCTTTATCTCTGCTACTTCTACTCTGCCCACGGGCTCCCTGCGAAGCTGCTTTCTTTCTTTGGTAGCTGCTACCTCTTTCGCGACGTGCTTCGCTCGTGCTTCCTTGAGCGCCCCCTAAGTCATTACCTTGGCCTTTTCTAGTATTGTTGATTTTTCAACCGACGAGCTCTAATCTCAGCATTGATCTTGGATAGAAACCGGTTGTGGTCTCGGAGAAGCAAGCGTTCGGCTAAAGAGATGCGAGCAGCAACAGCTAGGGTCTACATGCGCCCCTCAATGCGCTGCTTGCTTCTCTCATAAAGCGCAAGAGTGTCACATTTGACCACGCCATGCAGTGGCGATAGAGCCTCTGTTGTTAGAGACGTCACAGGTGTTGCAAGTGTCTGCAGCTACTCTTCGGACTGGCAGAGGGCTACAAATTTGTCAGTTGCTGGAACAAGCAACTGAGTCAGAGGCTTTGGTAAATCCTTCAGTAACTGCTTCAGCTTCAGGCGCCCATTATCAAGAGGCAACTAAACGAGAGGTAAGGCCGCTAACAGCAACTTCGCGCATATGCAATCTAAGTGCGCCAGCAAACAGTACACAAGCCTGTTCAAGGTAAACATACAATACTACATCTCTTACTTTCAATCTCCCGATCGTACCGCCAACAAGACAAAATATTATACCAGAATAGCGCAATCCAAAACGTGAGAATAGTGACAGCATCTGCGGCAACTGCAACAAGTGCTGCCACGGTTAAGCCGTATGAAATATTTTAGAACTTATAATTATCCTGCAGCACTGATGTCGTAAGACCAACATATAGAGCTGAGAGCATAACAGAGAGCACAGCAAACGCAGCTAGAATCTGTTTAAAATGGCGTATAAAGCAGGCTTTATACTAGGTGGAGCCCGCTCTATATCTCTGAATCAAGTTATTTAGCGAGTGCGCTAGGGGCTAAAGTCTATAGATAGTATTAAGTTAGCTTAATCGTAGCTCTCTATATTTGTATTACTTATTAATATTACTTAGAGTAACTAAGTTAACATTATTGAGGAAGGCATCTAAAAATTCCACCTAATCTGGCCACGTAATATCCTTCGACAGGAGACTAATTTCCTATGCAATTGCAAGATCGCTTTAGTGGCATATAAGCCACGTATAGGATAGCAATAGCCTACACGTAGACTAATAAAGCACCTCGTCAGAACACAGATACTTGTTCTAATAGTCGTAGTCAAGTAAGTACTCTGGCAGTGTCTTGACGAATATCTGAGACTCGAACCAAACCAGGTGCTCGTTTGGATCTTCCGTGACGAGTATGCTCCGACCGAGAAGCCTCTGTCTGTGTAGGGGCCTGGCAGCCTTCGGCAAGCCAGCAAGCCAGAGATGATGGTGAATAGCGTTGAGTTTTAGTATCCTCAGGTCGAGAGATAGATATTCGATAGGAGATCTGTTCGGCTGTACAAAATGGTTTCTCTGGTAAATGATTGAAGGGAAAACCAGGTTAGACGGAGCTATAGATCCAGCTAAGCTTCGACAAGGGTTGTTCTTCGATATCGGCGGACCATGCTTTCTTAAGCTCAGCCATGCACAGGATGAATGATGATGATCGACGGCTGGCAAAGTGTCTGGCTGGGAGGGTTGGCTGCCTTGTGTCGACATCACTCGGCTGCAGCGATGAAGGAATAGTTCGCGCCTGAATTTTAGGTTGGACAAGGGATTGTGGAGAGCCTATATGAATTGGAGAGCTGCGTTCAGCTTGCATCAGCTGGCTTCTCACAGACCAGGCACGGGGTGAGGTGGAAGGATGTGCCTCGCCTTGAGAAGGGGCTATTGTGGGGAGGACGGATTTCCTCAACTGCACCCAGCTCAGACGAAGGATCCAGACGCGCCACAAAACCCCCACAGCAAAGCCTAGCCTTCCGTTGACAACGCTGATTGGCAGGCATAGTCATACCTAACCTATCTGCGCACCCTGGTTACAACTAACATATTGCCTGTGTTAGTCAGCTATGCGACGCAGTTCAGCACACCCCAGCCATGACCGCCGATCACCAGCTCAAGGTACTACTAACCTCCCGCCTACGCGCCCTCAGTCGGGCTGCTCGCTACCTAGACTCTAAACAATACCCTTCACTTGCTCTATTGTTCACTTCTGAGGCAGCATGGCCGTTGCGAAGAAGGGCCCCGTGCTGCGCGTCACCGGTTTTTCAGCCTCGCAGCCTGACGAGGAGCTGGCGGCATCGCTAAAGGCGACCATCAACAACGAATTGACCGAAGAAGAAAAGGCAAAATTGCACATTAAAGTAGACTTCGTGCCCTCCTGCTACGACGATAAAGAGCAGGTTGCGCTCTTAGAGTGCTGCGGCGGGCTGCCTGCGTTCCTGTCAACGCTCACGGCTAATCCGCTAGGCGATTAGCAGATAGAGGTAGTAGTATCGCGTTGCGCAAAAGTGTGTCTGGATTGGGGTGCTGCTCGGACAGTTGAGCACTTCCTCGATGGCGATCGCAAAGGTGCCCTGTATGGAAGGCTTCGATGCAATATTTGAGAGGCTCGAAAGTTTGCAGACTGTTGATGGTTATGGAGGGGTTGTGGACACCTACAATCTGTCGCGTGCGTTAGGCACTCACACTTTTGGGCCGTAACGCATACTTGCAAAGCGAACTGACTTAAAGTATCGCCGGCTCTGTAACCTGGGATTAGGGGTTCGGCTTTACTAGCAATATATTAATATCTGACTCAGTCGCCGATATCTTCTCAAAAACACGGTGAGCACTACTTAATGCTTATTCTACTAATATCTAGCTAGGAGAATTAGCGGGCGCGCACCGATTGGCAGCGATAACTAAACTCTAATTAGACACAGCGTGTAAGGGGCTATATGCTAAGAGTAATGCCGAGTGTAATAGATTTATATTCGATATAGAGCTAGCAACTTTCTACTAAAGCGGTTATATCTGCGTACGAATTGGAGAAATTAGCTCACCCATTAGTCTGAGCACCGCTCGAACAGGTAATTAGCCCGACAGAGTGGCGTCCGAACACGGTTCAGATGAGCAGGATCTAGGTGTGATCTCTCGCACCTAGATTTTATGATCGTACACTAAGATCTTATTAAGGAACTTTATTGAAGGTCGTTCAGCCCATTACACTACTCAGCGCAAGTAGCATAAGCAGCTGCAAGTATTGACGATTGGACCGTTGTAGTTACCAACAACAACGTAGTCATTTGGACTGTCCCTCGTGCCGGCTCTATGGCAAGCTAGCTGACAGTTGGTCCCTTTGCAGGCTCCTCCACAATTATCCCAGGGTGTAACTTGAAGGTGATCGTATACGCAACCATCAAATCGAGACGGGATAGAGGCGTTGACTACTCCAACTATAGCCAATAGTATAGGGAGAATCGACTTCATGTCGTGTAGGTAGTTGTTGAATTGCTTGAGGATCTGTAGTATAAGATGGATAAGAAGCGGTAGGTTGGAGTAACGTAGAAAGGTTTTGACGCTGTTGAACTGAGGATCTTGGAGGCAATGACTTCTGCCTAGAATGTAAAAGAAGATAGTTATAACTTGTTAACAAAGACGAGAGTTGGTTACTATAGTAGCAATATTGGAAGGTGATAAGGGAACACACTTAGATTTATACATCGTTGCCACTAATAAATATTCCCCTTTTCTAGTCTATCTAAACCGCGCTCCGACGTCACAGCTAATTAAAGATTATCAGCGACTGAGTCGGATGTTACTATATTGCTAGTAAGGCCGAACCCCTAATTCTAGATTACGGAGCCGGCGATACTTTAAGAATCTATATACTTAGCAAGCTATTAAAAGTAGTTATATACTATAATTAACTATATTTAGTACTAACTTATTCAATAACTACAATAGAGAGAAAAATCTTAGTAGTGGTATAATACTAACTAGAAAGAAAACTCTAATTAATTGTTAGCTAGAGGACGGCTAATATAAGCATAGTGCTGGGGTATCATTTCTTAATAGAGCGACGGCATCGGCGTCTTTAGGCAGCGTAAACAGCGGCGGTCAAGGTTGTGCTATACACTCTTATGCAGTTACAACTTCCGCTTTGCGCACATAGCTCAGTTGTCATCCCACGCAGGACACAGGCCCGCCCAATACACGCTTGTCTAGGAAAAGTTAAACCACGTAAATACTATGCGCTAATTTGCCTAAGTGCTAGAAAGAAAATTAACTAATAACATCGCTAACAGGAACTAATACCATTCAGGCAAGATTACTACTAAGTAATAAAGACTTAGCGTGGGATCAAAGATCGCCTGCTTATAGAAACCAGAAGCTGTAACTGCATAAGAGTGTACCCGGATTTTGTAATCGCGCACCGAGATATCATCGAGGCGCTCCACCAAAACCCGTCACATGACGGAGCTATCTGTACTTTAAGGAGCTGCACTTAGAGAGCTATCGCCAGAATATACCGTGATTGAGTTTAATGCTGATATATCTGATATCCGGCGCAGAGGAGTAGACGTTAGCGGCGGAGTAGCACAGACTAGAAAGAAAACTCTGATTAACTGTGGGCCGGAAGAGGGTCGATACGAGGATAGAGCCGCTTTGTTATTCCTATGCATCGGCATCTTCGGACGGCGCAAACGGCGATAGTGTGTTACACGGGGTTGGATGCTAAAATCTTTTAGTTAGGGGGATCGGGAAAGATTCACTAATAGCTATACACTATAGTCAATTTGAATATATAGCAAATATTGAAATGTGCGAAGAAAGCATTGTTAAAAGTCAAAGTACCCCTCATTTGTCCCAGCACGGCGGGTGTCCCAGCACTCAGGGATGGATGTTAATGTCTAGTTTTGGACAGCCTGTCCGCATCAAGTACATACCCACGCTAGCCTTCAATATCGCCCGCCGTCGATCCCCTTCAAACAGACCGAGCAAGCCTCCCGATAAGAACTGGGTAGTGTTAATGCACATTTATATACTAGGACCAGCCTATCTGCCCTTTTCTTCGGCTTGACTATGTGACAGAGCGTATTTAGCATGCGGGAAAAATCGTCTCTACTTAAGTTAGTTATACCACCACGATTATCGTCTAGCAACACCCCAAGTTGCTGTATAATAGTATTTAGTTATCATCCTAGGGATATTCAACATTAGATCCCCCCTAGCCTGTGAATTCCATGTAAGACATAGTCTTCTCCTCACAGCCCTCTTGTGTCATTGTATTCGATGCCTTTGTGATTTTCTCGTCATGTCCTTCATAGATTTTGCAACCGCAATATTCTGAACTTCGCGGAGCGTGACCACATGGACACCGTAGCCAAGGAGACGAAATGTTTTGATACGGTGTTGAGGACCAACGGGTTCCACACTCACACTTGCAAGAAAACCTTAGCTCATCTGCTCTTCCGTATGTTCGGCGTCATACTTACACACCAAACAACCATTCTATATGTTTTGTAACTGTACCACACTTCCCGTATGCATTCATAGCAGTAAGGATGGTGGCATTTGCAAGCGGAAACCATTTGCCTTTGTGTTTCATTCGGAAAACAAGTTTGACGTCCACATGTGCACTATGAGGCAGTCAGCCTTGCGCATATTCAACCTTCCCTTTATCTTACACATTTTCGATTAACCTGGACAACGTTGCCATTCATGACTGCTGGATGCTGTAGTCATTTAATCAGCTATAGAGCAGATTCACGGGGGGAAAGATAGAAGAGAGCTCAGCATTCCATGTGGCAGGAAGATTTCTTGAGGGGCAAGGCTGTATCAGCACGTGGAGATGTTCTTGGACTAGTCTGCCAAGAATGATATGCGCCTTTTTATCATGCTTCACGCTAAACACAGCCCCATAGGCAAAAAGGACTACCCCACTTTGCAAGAGATACCGATAACGATTGGACATTTCTTGGAAATCACGTGTTGAAAACAGGTTTCTGTCTCCATGTAAATAGGAGAAGGCGACCAACCTTCATTGAGATAGAATATAGCACAAGACTAAAGTCAAATTTTTTCTAATACTCGATATAGTTCTTCATTCTTCATTGCTGCCTGCCATGATAACTTAGACGTTGAAAACCTCCATTATGATATTCTTCAGCGTCATAGAAGGCGTCAGTGTGTGTAACGGACCCAATCTCAACGCCAGCAGCATCGAGAACATCCAACAGAAGCTCAAACCTCTTGTAACGCATGTGTTTGAGCAATTCAGGGCCTGTAAACTCCTCTGAATGGAATTCATACGAGCTTCCGGGATTTCTCCGCCCTTTAATGTTCGGATCTGCACCATTACGGATAAGCATAGCCGCGGTAGAGTATGGTCTCGGGCCCTCTGCGGATGTACGTGCTAACACAGCGTAGTGTAAAGGTGTCCACCCCCACTGGTCTTGTCTGTCGATATCTGTAGCGCACCCAGTTTTGAGGAGATAAGAAAGAGCGTCATCTTCTTGACAATGATGCGCTGCAAGATGGAGTACCGTCCGGCCATCGGCCAAAACTCTTGTTATGTTTACTCCGCACGCGCGCAGCAGCTTGAGAGCATCAACAGTATCCGTGCCTGACTTTACGGCATTTTTAATAACAGACCATGTGGGATCATCGGTTATCGAGTCATAATCAAGAGCGTTTTCAACGGCGAGGATACGGAGAAACGGCAGCACCTTGGACGATGTATCGTGTCTCGCTACATTCAATCCCGCGAGACTTCTTCCTCGGACGATTTCATGGGTGGACGACCCATATCTTATCAGTAGCCGGAGAGCGTCGAGCCAACGATCCCATGTTGGTGGCAATTGCTCAAAGTCTTGACTACGGCGGGGATTCATCCCCACGATAGCAAAAATAGGCAGACTATGGGATATGGTGTTAACGTTGTACAAAGCAAATCTCCGTTCACGTCCTAAGGCTTACATCTGATCATCGTCTGGTATGTTTGGATTGGCTTTGTTCTCCAATAAGAATTGAACAGCTTTAAATTGCATTGAAGTGATCGCTACCTGTCATGACACTCGTTAGCTAAGTTCTGGTCTTGATTTCATTCTATCTCATACCATGAGAGGTGTCTTTCCACAGGAAGCAATCTGATCATTGATACCCCCTTTTTTCTCTTCCAGAATTTGTTTTATTAGCGTGACATCTCCCTTCCTGCAAGCCCTCATCAAAGGAGAATCTGCTGATACTCGTTATTGCGTTTGGAAGCCCCAATCAAAACCCCAAATCTTGTCCCGCATATCAACTTTTAACGAGATGTACAGGCCATAACACCCTCGAGACCCCAAGAACTCGATGGGGCAGACGCCAAAGCGGAATTGTCTTTGCAATTCCGTTTTGCTTTCATCCGTTTGGCTAATGTAATTCCCGTAGAATCCTAAATTTCGGAGCAGAGAATCAAAACGTAAAAGGGATTTCCTTGACGCAATGAATCGCGATGCTGTGGCTGGAGGCGGCTGAAGGTCTTGCGGGACTCTCGGAAGGACAAGATGTGCTGATGTACAGCGTTGTATGGAGCTAACACGATTTCTATCATAGTATCTTATTATGAGATTATTTTAGGAAGGCGTTACTTACAGATGGCCAATGGTTTCGATTTCCAGTAGCTTTTCCTTGGAACGCTTTTGTATTTCCTCTTTGAATCGTAAAGTTGCGTATTCTTCTTCCTCTTCATATATAAGGGGTATATGTACTCTAAATATCCCCAGCAAGCAGTATATTATGTCCTCCTTCAATGTCGTCTTACGCTTGGATGACCAATTCATTCGCTCTTCGATGTTGAACTCAGTGAATGGTTGCCCTCTTATCGCCGATAAAGGAATCCTAGTAATCTCATGGATCTCTCGCTCAAGTGATATCTTCGTGCCTAGTTGTTTGCCGTTCCTTAAGAAGAACTTAACTGTAGCCGGCGCAAGAAGCTCTTGTAGCGTACAGCCACGTGTAAACCATCTGCTCTGTTGAAAAGCATATTCCTATGTTATTGGGAAAGTCCCTGCGCTAGTGACCTCGCCTGGTACACTAACATCTCATAGGTATACATAGCACTTTCTTGCACGTTTGTACCAGCGGAACATAGAATTAACAGCACTACTAAGCTCATCATTTGTAGCTTTGTTAATGCAACAGGTGTCCACCCAGGAATATTCAAGGCCATCCTTCGCTGCCTGTTCTACGCAGAAGCGAATTTTGACGTAGCCAGCCTTGTTCGCAGCCGTCCCAGCTACCAGCTCATTATACGTAACCTCGCCGTCTGACCATGTATGCGAGAGTATGGCGTATGGAGGAGGGTCATTGGAATCTCAGGAGACCAGCTCAAAGCTGCCGTCAGTTTTTCGTCGTAGGAGGCGCATTTTGGTGTGTGCATGTCTGCGTCGGCGAAACAGCGTATAGAGATATCGCGATGCTGAGACGTGTGGACCACGTTTTCAGCACAGAGGTACGAAATGTTCGCGGTATTGGTCGCGCTCATTCACGTATGAATTCGCGTCGATTTTGCATGCTCTAAAGAAGCGGTTCAAGTAGGTTGCAAAGGCATTAGGCCAAGGCTGTTAAGTCGAGTGCTTGGCACAGAAGGGCTCGCAAGAGGCGAAGCTAACTTACATCATTTTGATCCCGCTAGCGGGAGGATGGCCAACCCGCTCCTGCCACACCCTTGCAGCGAACAGGTAGCATGTGCTAGAAGGTAGAGATTGCGTCACGAAAAACAGCGGAATAGCGATTCTAGTCGTGGTTGTGATTGATTTGATTTGATTTGATTTGATTAAGTCCTACACGCTTGCAGCCGCGAAAAGCAGCTATGCCTGGATGGCAGGTTCGGCAGAGAGCCGACGCGGTGCGGACGTTGTTCCACGCCGCCGCACTTCATCCCTCAAATGAGACCATCTCTCTTTAGAGGCCTGCCGATACTCTCTCATCACTATCTACACGTGGCTGCCAACCTCATCTAGATAATGATTCTACTAACTGAACACTGTACTTCCAGACTCGTAGAGGTATGGTTGCCTCGTGTTCTGCGTCTGCAATACCTTCAGTCTCCCTCCAACACTCGGCTGTCGTCTGCGCGTCTGCGATCCCCATTTTGCCCAAGGATCTGCGTCTGCTCTATGTGCTGGATGGCTTTGGTGGTTAGCTGTGGCGTGCTCAAGATAGTCTGTATATTGTCTCGTCCGGACAGGTTGGCGAAGATACGGTTCTGGAGATGTCTGCGCTTGCTGCAGTGGAGAAGGATATGTGCGACGGTCTGTCGTCTCGCTCCGCAGTCGCAGCACGGGCTGATGACGTCTGGCACTCTTTGGGCGAAGAGAAAATTGTTGAGTTCAATCTTCTCTGTCCGTAGCTGCACCAGCAGCGCGCTCTCCCGCTTAGTGAGCCCTCGTGGAGCCGAAGTACTTTCTTGATGGGCGTTGTTCATGAAGAAGCTGACAAAGTTTTAGATTAAATATGTACGTCTTGTGCCATCTCTATTATATTATGCAGAAGATGCCATTATAAAGGAGTACGCTAGAATTCTATGAAAACTAAAACATAAATCGCTGAAGCTCAACATCTGTCCAACGACCCACCTTCTCCGCCAACCACATGTCCTTTGCTTGTTCAGTCGCTTTACCTGCAACACCAACAGGCTCGTAGTACTCGCCGCTCTTCACCTCCGATGACACTGACGCCCACAGCTGATTCCATGCGCCTTTCTCCACCGTCATCATAAGCGGCTTACCGACCTTCAACAGCACGCGAACAGGCAGCGACGCACCATCGGCGCCTGCTTGCAAGCCCGTGTTCACGACACCCGGGTGTATAGACGCCCACTTGATGTCCCGGTGCATTTGCGCCATGTGGCGCGTCCAGAGAATGCTGGCAGTTTTACTCTGGCCATAGCGCTCCATGCCGCCCATCTGCTCCGCAGGCGTCTTGAGGGATTCAAAGACGACGCCTGCCTTAGGAGCACCTGAATGAGCGCCAGAAGATACAACGACCACGCGGACGTCGGCAAAAGGTTCACTGGCTGCGGTACTTTTCAGAATTGGAAGGAGCAGCTTTGCGAATAGAGCGTGGCCGAGATGGTTTGTACCGAATTGGACTTCGTAGCCGTCTTTTGTGACAGCAGGTGGGCATGCCATTATCCCAGCGTTGAGCATCAGGATGTCGAGACGTCGCGCCTCAGATAAGAATCGACGTGCTGCTTGTTGGACAGAGTCTAGGGAGTTGAGGTCTAGTTGAAGGGGCTTGATGACGGGCAGAATGCTTCCGCCCACTTGGGCGTGGATTTCTCGGATCGCTTCATTTGCTTTGTCGGGGTTTCGGGACGCCATCCATATTTCGGCAGGACCGTGGCGTGCATATTCGAGGATGGCTTGTTTGCCTAGACCGTTGTTGCCTCCGGTCACGATGATCACTTTGCCTTGGAGGTGAGGAATTTCCGTTGCGGGTGAAAATGATCTAGAACACATTGTGGTCGAGTTGTGGAATATGCGGGTCGTAACTTGGGTATGATTAAGAGGCAGATTAGACTTTAGGGGAGAAGATATAGAGCAACGAAGAAGATAGAAGTCGATATTATACTCTCAACGAGCATACAGCTTTCTATTTTAACAGCTCGGCTGACTGTATTTTATATACGTTCCACAACCTTTGGCCCTTGATAGACTGTGGTGTCTGTTACTATAATCGGCAGTTGAACATGGTTGGTCCTCGGACATTACTTAACTCCACTAGTAAGATTACACTTTCGTTGGCTCAGCCCTTATAGCGAACCACAATGTTATCCCAAACCGGACAAGCGCAATCCCATCAGGAGCTGCGCCTGTGCTAGTGTAGAGGGCCTGAAATCACACTTACTTCGTGGACTTCGAAGACAAATCACGGACCGCATGCGAATGGGGCCAATCTTACAGTGTATCAGCGCTGACCGAAAACGCACAATTTTTATCTCCTTTTAGCAGCGGGTAACAAAGTGCAGACCGCTGACCGGACTTCATGAGCCTTATTGCGAAACTATTGAGGAACCACTTAAAGGACCCCGTGTTTGGGTTACAAAGTGGTATGAAATATAACCACACTTAACTATTTTTTTTTGGAAAAAAATACTCGTCTAGAACGCGAGTAAACTCCCACACGTGGGCGCGTTCTTAGCGCATCCACCACCGAAAAAGGCAAAAAAAGGAAAGCTCTCCAGCGGGGAATTGAACCCCGGTCTCCCGCGAGTTGTCACATGACAAGCGGAAATACTGACCACTATACTACTGAAGACGGCCACATGTAATTGGTGGAGTCAATGTGAGTCCTGATCGATGGAAATGTAGTAATTTTTGTAAATTATAACCTACATGCCGCAATACGCGCCCAATGATGTCTTTCGTACCCCGCTCAGTGCTCAGTCGCTCTCATTGTATCACTTTTCCGATCAACCAGTAGTAATAACTCCAGAAAAAGTCATGCGATTTGTCTATGCGTGTTGGCTGTACAGGTTTGATGATCGTTGACGTAGCCACCTGTTGTAAACCAATCATTCTGCCTCTCGTGTACTAGAACGAAGGAGCTCCTTGTTTCGTTCTCATCATTTTACATCAACCTCACAGTCGCGACAAGTACGTCTATTTCAATTTTCAGCATGTATTGAAGTACTCTAACTTCGATTATTTAACGTGAATCCCTGCGTAGCGAGACGCACGGTGTGGCGAGACAAATGAGGGGTACTTTGACTTCCAGTAACCGGCAAGCTTATGCGCACGACAGATATCGGTATAAGTCTAGTTATAAGAATAAAGGGAAGGCGCCGGCGGAATGCGATGGAAGGTGAGGTGCGAGTAGAGTGAGCAGCGATGGGATATGAGATGAATAGAGGTGAGTATGAGGGGAAGAGGAGAGGAATAAAAACAGCCAGTGAACAAGGCTGACAGCTGGCGGGGGGGGTGGAGTGGCGTACCCATACGAGATGCATGATCAGGTGTGGTTGAGACCCTCGTCCCTCCTGTTGGAGTCGGCATGCTAGGCGTCAGCGGGAGTTCGCGGCCAGGGAAAGTCCAGGAGATGGTACAGAATAACATTCACGGCGTCCAGGCGTGTTTGCAATCGCGTTCGAAATCTGTATGCCGCGAGGAGAAGCTATTCGGTCCGCTGGTGTAATGGAGTTGTTGGGCTCGCGGAGCGAAGAGAGAGATGACCTAAGGTCTGCCGGACAAGCCCACTCAGGCTCATAGTCAAGCTCTGATTGTCGTATAGAGTAAATGAAAGATACTGGCTAGCGATGGAGCATTGAATAGCAGCTCAGCTGTACAGTCATCATAGGACAGGCCTTGACCCCAGTGAGATGGTGGGCGTGCTGTATACAGTCGTCAGCGATTGCGGCTTCACTCTTACACGCAGATGCACAACGATTTTGAGCAGCCCCACCTAGAGGATCTTGTACTCTCAGATTCTCAGCTCACCGTAGAACTGAATTCTACATCGGATAACCCGGTTATTAACGTCGAAGAAAAGGACGTACATTGTGGCGCCAACTTTCAAGCCGCGTCGGTGACTGCAGCCACCGAAAAAGTTCGCCTCTCGCTGCAATCGATTGGAAAGATGCTTTTCAGTCAGGTTAGCGAAATGATCAACCATGATCTTAGCAACGGTCTTCCTCCCAATCTTGCTGCCGACGATCCAAGCGTGTCCTTTTGTCTTAAAGGTCTCGATGCCAACACTGCTGCTTACACATCCGAACTCGGGTTTCTTGCTAATCCAGTAAGCAACCACGTCCAATCTGCCGAGATGCACAATCAGTCTATCAATTCTTTGGGTTTGCTTTCTGCACGACAGACATTTGCCGCTATCGAATGTCTCTCTATGATCGTTGCCAACGCTCTCTACACAGCTTGCCAGGTACGTATACATCTTACAAACCATATTTTGGAGCGTATGCTAACTCTTGCCTCTACCTCTGCAGGGCGTGGATATTCGGACACTACATCGTACCTTCCTCGACAAACTCAGAAAGCCAGCTGAGGAACTGCTTGCTTCGTCCCTCCAAATTGAAGATGCAAAGCTTATTTCCAGGTTCTGGACTCGTTTCGAAGAGACCTGGTACAAAGGGGCCCCGCTTGATGCCGACGAACGGGCTGATAAAGTCTCTGATGTCCTTTCGGCAGTTATCATCACCAGCTCCGAGGCTAGCAGTGACATCAGCGTAACTCAGTTATCAAAGACACGAAAAACTCTCAGAGACTTAGTTCTCAACACCTATTTCCAGCATCGTGAGGCCTTCTTCAAGAAGCCAAGCACCCCGGAATACCTTGGCAACGGCACCAAGGTTCTCTACCGCTTCATCCGCGAGAAATTACAGGTCCCACTCCACCGAGGATTGATCGAACACCCAGTTGCTGGCGCAAAAGACAACAACATGATTGATGGAAGGCCCAAGAAGACTATTGGCTTCTGGGTTTCTATTATCTACGAGGCTGTTCGCAATGGAGAGGTGTACAGCAACATTTTAGAATTCCTTCAAGATGAAGACAGCAGCAACCGTGTACGCAGAAATGGTAACGGTGAGTACACGAACGGCAACGGTGTACATCCCAATAGCAATGGCGTACATATCAATGGAAATGTTATTAACGGCAATGGCAACGGGATTAACACATAAAGAATGAAAACTAGACTTTGGTTACAATAGCCTTACGACCCAAACTTTTCTTATGACTATCTTAGTAGATAGAGTTAGAAAAGATTGTTTTAGGATAATTTTTATTTTCCTTCTAGTCAATATAAATGTTTGATAATTGGTAAGCTCCTCTACGAATCGATGCTTCTCTAGCTTTCACTTGATAGTATAGAGAAATGAAGTCTCTTAACTTACATTTGCGGTACTGGTCTCCCATGCTGACCCCAACGCGATGATCATCAACCTGACATTCGCAGCTATCGCTGTGGCATCTGCAGATCGATGAGAAGATATTGCTTATGATATCAAGGCAGGAAATATTGTGGGTGCGTACCTGATGCCGAGATATATGGCCAGATCATTGGCTCGCCGTTCGGCGCTACCGTTGCCTATGGGTTGTACAAGCTTTATGTAATCCAGTCTCCAATACCAGGCCGTCTCTTCCAAATACCTTCCACAAATATTGTACTGAGTACCTCCAAATTACTTCGGGAGCAAGCTCTACTAAAAGATGGTTTGCCCTTGAATATAGAAGCAGCCGTACTCTCAACGTTAGCTGCAACTTTGAAGATGTATTACAAAACCCAGAGATCTCAGAATCTCATTTCTTGTGGCATGTCATCTGTAATAGGTATAACTGTTGAGATCCTAGCCTGGACCTCGTCCATTGGAATATTTCTAGTAATCTAACCTCTGCCCTCTTCTAAAATCATACGCGCACTTGAGGGGCTGTTTTACAGCATATGCAAACATTTTAGGATAAATAATAGGATGTGATGACGTTGTGATACTTCCTAGTGGACTCTTCATAGGCGAATCTATTGCCAATCTTATCAATATCGGCCTCGGTGCTTTCAAAATGCCAAAGATCGAGTCTCATCGGGAGGGAGTGCATGATTCTCTTTCAGGAAGAAAAACCCCTCATTTGGCCTAGCACGGCAGGTGTCGCAGCATCTGCAATAGTATCGACGGATATTAGGCGCTAATATTACGGGTCTTCCCAATAAAGTCAAACTTTTAGGCGACGTGGTATATGCAGTGTCAAATGCATTGTGACCTTGCATAACATGGGAGGGTTCCTTGTAGGATTTCTCCAAAAGCACAGGCGATCATTACTTTGTAGGAGACAAGACCATACAAGCATATGTAAGCATTTCTTATCATGTATGCGACATTGCATATGCAAGATACGCAGTGACCAGTAGGAAACGTCTATGGATACGAACCAACTCCTTCCTCGGTCTGGCATAGGTAAACCACTGCGGACCGAAACACTAACTTGTCGCTAGCGCGTTGGTGGTTTTCAAACTACTATCGCTTTTGGAAGGCCAAGATTCCTCTCTTACATTGCGGCGTAGTTGAGCATCCAAAAGCTACCTGGTAGCGACAGCGCGAACAAATCTTTCGAGGTTTTGCGTGAAATATGCAAAGATGTGTGGACATATTTCAGTCCTCAGGGAGCATGCATCGAATATAAATGGAGCCTATTAGCCCATCTCTTGGTGTACCCATCAAGTGCTTATTATCTGCAGATCCTCATTCGTCTACTACATTATCACGTGAGCGTCACTCGCCACCTCTAGGCAGCATGCTCTTCCCCAACCTAGCTGCTTTTGCAACTCTTCTCGCAATCACTCTTGCCACCCCTACCCCTCTTGACGACGGGAACACCGATAACGGGACATCTCACGCGCTTGCTAAATACGAAGTCAGTTGCCGCAGCGGAGGAAATACCTTACCTCGCTGCTACGAATCAGGCTCGGCTGGCTGTCGCTGCTCTAGCATTGGTGTCTACAACTGCCAGGATGACGAGTGTAAAACATACTGCGGATGCAGCAGGTATGTGCTACTGAACCTCCAGACTCCCACTGTTGCTACACGTTAGAGCTATTCATTATCTTGCCTGTTCGACTACTTTAAACATGACACTAACGGTAATAATAGAGTCTATTACCCCCAATGTCCCCACTGCCCTTAAGTCAGAACTATCAAATGTCGGCTTCACTCCGCATGAGGACTTCGATATCTCTATTATCTGGCACAACTTAGACTCTCGGAGCGACTTTCTTACGTTTCGCAAGGAGTCGCAGGGACCAATTGAGCGCATTCTAATCGATTTCGCAAGAGTACTAGAGAGTGGGATGTTTACAGTGTATAGTGTAAATGCGAGTAAGCATTTATTCTGTGTGACAGTAGCTTGTGAAAAGAACAAAGATGAGGGAGTTATGGACTTGGTGTTGAGTGTGCTGTAATAGCTATCCACGTTCGTTCTAGGTTCGTCTAGTCAGTAGTGTTGCTTTGAAATCCAAATCTATGTTGGCAGTCACTATCAAATAGGTCATGCTCCTTTGACTGCCACGCTACTTTTTAAGTTCGTTTACACGCTATATCCATTCATCATCACACACTGTGGTGCCATGTCGTAAGCCAGGCATACGTTAGGGCTAGTAGCTCAGTGAGGGCTCCAGATCCTTCACACTAGACAAACCTTTGGCTACTAGCATCCCGACTTACGCTAATAGCTTAAAGACGCATACGCAACTTAGAAATAGATTTTATATAATTAAAAAGGTAGCCAAGTCTCTTAATACTAGCTAACTAGTTGCTCTACCTCTTTTTCGTTTATCACACAGTCTAGCGGCTGGCAGAACGCATTACGATCTAACGTGTTATAATACTAGAGCAAGCGATACTTAGAACGATAAGCTAAGTATCTCCTTAGATATACATACTAAGTGCAAACAAGAGGAATAGATAGGACTGTACACTCGCTAGTTCTAATAATTGCAGATCGTTAGTTAAATAATCTATCTTTACTATAACGTGTTTCACCACCGAGCGCCGCAGTCTCCTCACCAAAACGACGTTGCAACACTGTCTACGTAACACTACCATAGTTTGCTTGATTAACTAGAATAGAGCATTCTTGTTTAGACCTATTGCTAACTTCTGAATCCTCTAATTCTACTTGGTAGGTGCGAGAATCGTGTCTAGTTTGGCTGCAACGTCCGCAGCGCCGTTCACTGCGCACCCTTTTCACAGGCGTTGCAACGTCGTTATGGCTTCCACCCTCTGCCTCAGCGACCTAATCAGCTATTTAACCAACTGTTTAGAACCCCTCTGGCTGTACGTAGCGCCGCTTGCGAGTTTTTCGCTTTGTTAACGCTTCAACAGCGTCTCGTAGTCGGCTTATTTCCTCGTGCATCAACACCATATTATCAGCACCTTCTCACTCCGCGCCAGCGTCTGTCTGTACATTGCCTCTGCCTCTTCGTACCTGCCTAGGCTGTTGAGCACTAGCGCCAAGTTATTCATGCTCTTCAACGTAGGTAGATGCTCATGCCCGAGCACCTTCTCCTTCCGCGCTAGTGTCTGCTGGTTTATCGCCTCCGCTTCTTCGTACTTGCCCTTAAGCTCTCTAGCTAGTCCTATTATCTCTATGCTGTCTAGCGTCTCCGCATCTTCTTCCCTAAGCACCTCCCTCCTAACCTATATTAATATTATTACTATCTCCTCTGCCTCCCCTACTCTCCCTTATCGCCACGCATACTATACTATATTATATAGTAATAGCGCCCACTCCTTTTATAACTCTTTACTCTTAGGCTGCTATGCTAGTACTATCTGTACGTGTAGAAATAGCGCCTTATACTTCTCCTAGTTCTTATATTCTCCCTTTAGCAGCTCTGCGCACAGGTTTGAGATAAACTACTCTCTCTACTTCTCTAGCTGCCTTTTGTTCTTAAGCTACGTACGCATCACTAGCTGTACTAGGCTGTGTGTCTTAAACATGTCTGCATCTCTAGTTACCGTAATAAACGAGTAGTCTTGTAGAGCTAGTATATCGTCCTTAAACTCGTCGTTGATTTGAACAGCTAATATATGTTTATCCACGGTGCTGCTCTGGCGGCGGAGTAGAGCTTCCTGGATCTCCTGTCGGCCAAAGAAGCTCATTAGCGACAGTAGGCCTGCTGCTAACTTTCTTATCTTCTGTATGTGGTCGAACGAGATCTACTATATTATTAAGATAGAGTTGCTAGCTACTATATCTCGGCGGAGGTAACCTACTTTCTAGTTTAGTAGACTTATCTTTTCTTTTCTCAAGGGTTTCTGCGTTTAAATAGTTCAAATTTTGTTTTTGTCCATTTGCGATCCTCTGAAGTGGAGGAACTATTTGCTCAAGCGAAACACAACAATCTCCTTGGGGTTCTGGAGTGGAAGTCATTATTCCAGTTGTCTCGCAGCTCTCGAAGACCTCATCGCTCTGGTCGAGCGCATTGCCGTCCGGCTTGATGTCTGGGTACATAAGCATCACAGCTTCATGGCGGTCCGCCTCCGATTCCAATAATGCCTTTAGGTATCGAGAGGGCTTGCGCATACCGTCCATCGGTATTGATCTAGTAGGCGCAGTAGACCCGCCTTGGAAGAACTGTCGCCGCTCTTCTTCGAAGGCTTTCCTCTGCAGATACCTCCGCTTGTCGCGTGGAAGGTCCGAATCGTATTGGCTTGTATTCGGTGAACTTGTTTCTGCTAGCTGGGATCTAGGAGGGATAGGGGCTAGTAGGTTTCGGTGGAGCATCATCGAACTGTGTTTGTTGATAAGGTCCATCCGCTGATCTCTCCCAAAAATAATATTCTGCGAATCGATCCCGATCATGGAGGAGAGATAGGCCTGGAACACATGATCGTCAGAATGCCCCATCGCCTGCACTCTCTGAGCAGTTGTGGCAATTTCTGTAGCCATCAGCGTGCGTCTAGAGCCCGAGATATCCAGACATACTGTCAATAGCATTCCCATAACCACGGCGAAAACAGTATGCAGTTAGTTTGTCCTTGTAGCCTGCTCTCTCACCCAAGCTTCGAATCATCCAATGGAAGCCAAAGTAGCTTAGTATTCTTATCGGTGAAATCGATCCGTCTGGTTCGTAACACCGTAAATATTGGCAGATTCTCTGCATGCGCACGATAAGGAAATTCGCGAATGGAACTGCCAGGGGACGGCATCTTAGACTGGATATCGAAAAGTGTTTTGTAGCCTTTAAAGATACCATCCGCTAGTGTAAGCGCCAGGAAGTATGTGACCGGACACATCGCGCGATTTCCCTTGTCCTCGTCGAGAAATACCTTTGAGCTGAGCTCTGGTCAGCATTTACCTCAAGGAGAGCGGAAAACGTACCCCTGCTTATGGTTATGCCTGTGGCCTTTACGGTTCCGTAGATGTACATGTAGCACGAACTTTCCTTCATCTTCATCCCAAAGCAGCTTCACATCGCGATAAAGCAATCCTTTATTCGAGTCTTTCTAGTTCGATGATTCAATAAACTCCCCAGGGCGCATTTCTATCAGGGTCATCATTACAATGGAGAAGGCAAGCTGGAGACGTGCGCGAGGATGTTGAAGCTGGTATTTATTGCATGCCTATAAAAAGCGAATGAGGTCCTCGCTTACATTTATAGGTGCTAGAGGCTTATTGTACGCCTTTGTTGATAACCTTTCGGTTTGAAGAAGATCGTTCTTAATAAGTTGTGTAAACTGGCTGTTGTCGGCTCTACTGTAACTGTGGCTGGTAAATAGTCGAATGGCTCGTTTAAGACATCGAAGACGGTTTTTGATCGTTGTGTCGTTGATCTTCTCGTTAATCAACCCGACGCTTGTACGAGTATACCAGGTAAGAAATAGCGCGATGTGGTTTGCTGGTGGAGGCTCTGGAAAGGGTGCGTCTTCCTGTAGATGTATACCCAGGACCTTCTCCGAGAACCTGGCTTGTTAGTTGCGTCTTCACATCTCAGCGTCCACTTACTCTATCCATAGCTTGATTGTGTACTTGTGTTGCCTCTTACTCTCAGGAATGAGCGTTTTCTCGATGTCTTCTTCAGTAAGCTCGGTGTTCTCCACTTGCTGGGCAAGTGCTTGCAGGTCAGCTACATTGCTGTCTCTAGCCCTTCCGCGCACTATGCTGAAGATAAAACCAGCTTTAGCAAGTGAGTGTAGTAATAAATAACTATTTTTTTGAACTTAGTGAAGGTATGTTGTCTGTAGGGAGTAGTGCAACGAACGCAAAAAAGAAAGAAAGAAAGAAAGAGAAAGAGGGAAGGGAGGGGAAGATAAGGGAAGGTAAGAGGGCCTCCATTATGCGGCCGTGTATCTACTAGGGCTCTTAAAACAGCGTCAACTTCTATATAGAGCATCTTCCTCCACGTTGCTATATGCCAGAACTGGTCGCCAAAATAGGGATTTAGTATGGCTTGGCAGTCGGTAGTCCTAAAACGGGTTCACGTAAGTTGACAACCGTCACAGTATTCACTATACTACTGAAGATGATGATTTTAATAGAAATAAGAGGAAATTAAAAACTTATATTCTGGAAGTCAAAAGACACCTCACTCGGGACAGATTTCACTCAAAAGCGGTAGTGCGCCCATTTTATCTGCCAATCTGCTTTAGACCAATTACGTTTTGCCTTGCTCGCTTCGAAAGGCCGTGCCCCGGCAAAGGAGTTGGCCGTCCATCAACACGGCCCTACCTTTGTCTCTCTATGCCATCGCAACCCCACATGATGTTCTTAAGCGAGTTCTTGAAAAAGTCTGTACAAGCACCGAAATTGCCATTAGCTATAAGAATATCTATGTCCTTTTTACGGAAGTGAATTTTGCTGATTAGGGCAATAAACTACGCCGTACCCGCGGCAAAAACCTAAATTAGACGGCCCTCCAAGATGTTGAACTTGCGCTCTACAACCTCGAGCGTCTCGAGACCTTCAGGCGTCTTCTCTAAAGAAGTCAGCTTGGCGCGGGCGAGCTCGAGAAGAGAGCGGCGCGTTCACACGGGATTGCCGTTTTGGTGATCTGCTATCGGCCCCGAGCGGCACTAAACTCCGTGCGGGGTACAAAGAATGCTGTCGGACCTCTACACTTGACATCTCACGCACGAGAAAGAAGTATAGCAACAATGGCCGCTAAAACTAAACTAAAAATTATCTTGTATAATTTAGGTCCCACTAAGAACATTTGTTTTCCACCTCTCGTCTAACGGATCCGTATAATGCTCAACTACAAGAAACTCCCTTATACAACGATCTTTCTTAAGTTTCCAGACATTAAGCCTAAGCTAAAAGAGCTGTGAGTCCCCCCCTCACTTCCCATAGAGTTCTGGGCATGTGCTACTAGATAATAATAGCTAACCCTGCTAGCGGTATAGTGCCCAGCCCGTCTACCACCGGGCGGTAAACCGTCCCAGCCATCCATCACGTGCCTACTAACACGTACGTGATAGACTTCCTTTCCATCGCTAATTTCATTAAGGCTGGTCCCGAGGCTAAAGCGGGTGGGCTTTGCCTACCCCATAACAGTCGCATACAATAGTTATATATTTTAACATTTAAAATTGATAGTGTCCTACCAATGAAGCAAACTCACTATATGTTAAAGATATTTAAAAGACAAAAAACACGAGATACAAAATCAATGATAGGGAAGAGACAGGACGCATTAGTTCAAAAAACCGGCTTACTAGACCAAATGTTGATGAGAGAAACAGTTTATTAAGCCAGCAGCTTGTTTTAACTGTAAACAGAGGCTAGGGATTAAAGATCAAAGCAAATAGCAAAGAGTAATTAGCAAAGAACAAAGTTAAACAAACGAGCGATAGCAAGGAGATAGGAGCGGAAGAGGAGAGAGGAGAGAGTTAATGAAGCCTTCTGGGCTTGATCCCTTCTCGATTCACCGTGCCTTAGTGTCCTATGCTTCCCCCTACGTAGGCTAAGAATGTTTTCTAGGTGCCTGAGAAAAGCTAGTCTGATCTTAACACAGGATAGCTTCCCGGCTTATATCAGCGACTCTATTAAGCAGCATCATGATTGCATGCTCATAGCCTTGAGCTGAAACTAGGCATAGTGCGTTGACATAGAACCCATCCTGTGCGCTAACATCGGCGCCCACGTTGACGTCGGCGCCCGCGTCCAGCAGCGTCTTGACCACCTGCATGTGGCCTCGATCTAAAGCTATGTATAGTGCTATATCGTAGACTATACTCTGGGCGTTAACGTCAACGCCCGCGCCAAGTAGCGTCTTGACCACGTGATTGTGGCCTCCAGCTGAAGCTAGGTATAGTGCGTTAACGTCGGCGCCCACGTTGGCATCAACACCCGCGTTCAGCAGTATCTTAACTACCTGCTCATGGCCTTCCGCTGAAGCTGCCTGTAGCGCGTTACCATACTCTTCACCCTGCGCGTTGATATCAGCGCCTGCATCGAGTAGCATCTTGACTATCTGCTCGTGGCCACTGTATGATGCTGCCGGTAGTGCGTTGCCGTACTCTCCGCCTTGCGCGTTGATATTAGCACCTGCATCGAGTAACATCTTGACTATCTTCTCTTGGGCACTGTACGACGCTGCCTGCAGCGCGTTGCCATACTCTCCACCCTGCGCGTTAACCTCAGCGCCCGCATCGAGTAACATCTTAACTACCTGCTCGTGGCCTTTATATAAGGCTGCCTGTAGTGCGTTGCCGTACTCTCCACCCTGCGCGTTGACCTCAGCGCCCGCATCGAGTAACATCTTGACTATCTTCTCGCGGCCACTGTACGACGCTGCCTGCAGCGCGTTGCCGTACTCTCCACCCTGCGCGTTCACCTCAGCGCCTGCATCAATTAGTGTCTTAACCACCCGCTCGTGACCTTCTCTTGAAGCTGCTTGCAGTGCATTGTTATTGCCGAATGTTCCACCGTGGGCGTTGACGTCGGCGCCTGCGTTAAGTAAGGTCTTGACTAGCCGCTCGTGGCCCCTGTATGATGTTGCTCGTAATGCATTGCCAAAGTGTCCACCCTG